ACTTTAAGCTGGTAAGCTAATGTTTCCACTGGTTATAGGTCATGTTTTTCTGCTTTATCTGTCTAGTAATTTTTTACTGCATGCTGTGTATTTATAAATGCTACATTATTGAGTGTTTTTTGTTGTTCTTCCTAATAGAGTTTGAGTTTTGTTCCAATAGGCAGTCAATTTACATGGGCATCTGCTTGATCTTTTCAAGGCTTCTTTTAAAGTGTATTTGGGACAGATCTAAGGTAGTTCTTCCTATACAGCTAGATTATACCTACTAATATGGCATGACCTTTCTGGAATTTCTACTGAATGCTCAGGGTATTCAACAAGATATCTCTACTCTGGATGTTTGGAACTCACATATCTCCCAACCTTGCCTTGTGTCATCTCTGGTAGTTTTTCAGCTGTTTAGAATTCAGCTAAAGTTGGATTTTTTGGAGCTCCTTCTCTGTAGAGCTTCCATTTCTCAGGTACTTTGCCATGCAAATTCTTGAGGGAGGGAGGCTCAATAGCCTTGAGCTATGGTCTTTGCTGCTACAGTCCAGAAAGTACTCTAGGCAGAAAGCCAGGGTGAGGGTGGGGCTCACCTTATCTGTTTCTCTTCTCACAGGGACCGCAGTAAATTTCATATGTTTTATCCAGTTTTGTAGTTTTTTTTTTTATGGCAAGAGGCCTAATCTTTTTTTTTTTAAATTTTTATTTATTTATGATAGTCACACAGAGAGAGAGAGAGAGAGAGAGAGGCAGAGACACAGGCAGAGGGAGAAGCAGGCTCCATGCACCGGGAGCCCGACGTGGGACTCGATCCCGGGTCTCCAGGATCGCGCCCTGGGCCAAAGGCAAGCGCCAAACCGCTGCGCCACCCAGGGATCCCAGGAGGCCTAATCTTCTACCAGTTATTCTATCATGACCAGAAAGAGAAATCCTATTCTTTAGTATATTTACACTTCCACTTTATACTTTTCTAAAACAGCATATAGTAATATTTTGCATGTATTTTTAAAATTTTACTTAAGTGATATTATATTCATATTCTAATATATCTTCTTTTTAAACTTAACATACATATTTTTTTTGAGAGGGAGAGAGGGTGGAGGAGGGGTAAGGGGAGGGGGAGAGAATCTTCAGCAGACTCCATGCCCAGTACAGACCCCAAAGGTGGGGCTCAATCTTACAACACCTAAGATCACAACCTGAGCCAAAATCAAGAGTCAGACACTTAACCAATTGAGCCACCCATGTACCCCCAAACTTAGCATATTTTTAATTTTTTAAAAGATGTATTTACTTATTTGAGAAAGAGAATGCATGAGCACATGCACAGGGCAGGGCAGAGGGATAAAATCTTTAAGTAGACTCCCCACTGAACACAAAGCCCAGTGTAGGGCTTGATCTCACAACACATGAGATCATGACCTGAGCCAAAAACAAGAGTTGGACGCTCAGCCAACTGAGCCACCAAGGCACCCCTCAACATATTTGTAAAGACCTATCCACATTTATGTATTTATTCAGTCACTTAAATATTTGTTTTTGAGTGTGTATTAAGTGCAAGATACTGGGCGTGCCATTTGCCTGAGATGGAAAAAGTTCTCTCATGGAGCTTAGAGTCTGGGGGTGGAGGGGTATGCAGATAATAAACAGATAAACAGGGATCCCTGGGTGGCGCAGCGGTTTAGCGCCTGCCTTTGGCCCAGGGTGCGATCCTAGAGACTCGGGATCGAATCCCATGTCGGGCTCCCGGTGCATGGAGCCTGCTTCTCCCTCTGCCTGTGTCTCTGCCTCTCTCTCTCTCTCATTCTGTGTGACTATCATAAATAAATAAAAATTAAAAAAATTTATAAAAATAAAATAAACAGATAAACAAGTTCATATATAATGTCACCAATAAGTGCAATAAAGAAAAATGAGGGGCATCTGGCTGGATCAGTCAGTAGAGCGTGTGACTCTTGATCTCAGGGCTGTGAGTTTGAGCCCCATGTTGGGTGTAGAGATTACTTTAAAAATCTTAAACAAAAAGAAAGAAAAAAATGAAGCAGGATGTAAGTGGATGCAGTGTGACTGAGGAAGGGCGACCAGACAAGGTCTCAATGGAGGTGATATTTGAGCAGAAGCCTGACCTAAGTGAAGGTGTGAACCATACAGATGTCTGGGGGAGGACATTTCCAGGAAGAAAGCCTGAGTGGGCTGGAAAAAAAAAAAAAAACGTGAAGGTTTTGTTTTGTTTTGTTTTTTTGTTTTTACGTGTGAAGATTTTAAGGAAGAGCATGACATGATCTCATTTATATTTGAGAAAGTTCTTTCAAGTTGCTGGATGGAGAATGGATATTGGGAGGAGGTTAGAGGCTGCTGTAGTAATCCAGGCAAGAGATAGCAAGAAATGATGGGGAGAAGTGGTCTTTATTGGAAAGTAGTTTACAGGTGGGGCCAACGAAATTTACTGTTAGGTTAGTATTGAATGAGGAGAGAGACATTTAAAGAACGATGCCAAAGTTATTGGCCTAAGGAACTAGACAAATGAAATGCCCTAAACTGAGATGGGGACTTTTTGGGTTACAAATGAGTAATTCTGCTTTGAACATGCCAGGTATAGAAGATGCCTTTTAGATAACTAAGGGTGGATGTCCTTAGTTGAGGTAGGATCAGAGATAGTGTTTCTGTATAATTCATGTACAGATGGCTTTTAAAGCTGTCTCTCTGAGGGACACCTGGGTGGCTCAGTGGTTAAGCATCTGACTTTGGCTTAGGTTTTTATCCTGGAGTACTGTGATCGAGTCCCACATCAGGCTCCCTTCATGGAGCCTGCTTCTTCCTCTGCCTATGTCTCTGCCTCTGTCTCTCTCCCTCTGTGTCTCTCATGAATAAATAAAAAATAAAATCTTTTAAAAATAAATAAATAAATAAATAAATAAATAAATAAATAAATAAATAAAGCTATTCCTCTGAATGAGAAGCCCTAGGAACTGAGTGTGAAGAAGAGACACTTGAGCCTTAGGAATGTCAATACTTAAATATAAGGTCTTTCTCTCTTTTTTTTTTTATTTATTTATGATAGGCACACAGTGAGAGAGAGAGAGAGGCAGAGACACAGGCAGAGGGAGAAGCAGGCTCCATGCACCAGGAGCCCGACGTGGGACTCGATCCCGGGTCTCCAGGATCGCGCCCTGGGCCAAAGGCAGGCGCCAAACCGCTGCGCCACCCAGGGATCCCCCTAAGGTCTTTCTCTTAATGGAATCCAGCAAAAGAGACTAATAAGAAGTAACCATTGGGGTGGGAGGAAAACTGGGAGAGTATGGAATCCCAGAAGCCAGTGAAGGAAGGATTGATCTACTGTGTTCAGTACTGCCAAGTAGATACCTGTGGATGTCATCAGTGATACACAGTAATGAAGCTCATTCATTTTAACTGCTGTATAGTATTCTATTCCATGACTAGAGAAGAAGGCTCATTCTTCTATCTCCCACCATTTAGGTGGACATTTGCAGTGATCATTCTTAAACATATCACTGATTTGAGCACATGGAGAGGGGTTCTCTTTGGAGACTTTTTCGGGATGGAATCACTAGATTATTAAGGAAAGATATGTACAGCTTTAACTTGACAAAAAACAGTGTCAGATTAGTTCCCAAAATGGTGGTGCCAGTGTCAATTACTGTGTTTAGTGTTCAAGACCCCATTGCTTCACATCTTTACCAACATTTGCTATTGCAGACTTTAGAATTCTTGCCATTCACATTTTCCTGAGTCCTAGTGAGGTTGTGTGTCTCTGCCATTTGGGTGACCTGCCTGTTAATATTCATTGACCAATTTTCAATGGAGTCATCCTTTTTTTTCTAATTTGTATGATTTCTTTATATATTCTGAATGCTAAACCTCTATTAAGTACATTATGTGACTGTGGTGTGTGTGTGTGTGTGTGTGTGTGTGAGAGAGAGAGAGAGAGAGAGAGAGAGAGAGAGAGAAACATAAAAACTTTTAGTTTTGATTAATCAAATCTATCCATTTGTTTTGTTTTGTGTCTTATTTAAGCAACCTTTCCCTATTTGAAGATCATGAAGACACTTGCCTATATTTTTGTTGTAAGACTTTTAAAGTTTTTTTTTTAATGTATATGTTACAGTTAATGCATCTGAAATTTATTCTGTGTAGGGTGTGAGGTAGGGATCTTTTATGTTTGTTGGTTGGTTTCCTATTGTGAAGGCCAGATGTCCTGACCTCTCTAGTCCTTTCCCATTGATCTGTACTGCCACCACCATCACATTCAGTTTCCTACAGGGGTATGGGTCTGGTCGGGCTCTCTTTTCCTGTTCTGCTGATCATATTGCCCATTCTTGGACTCATACCCCAAAGTCTTCATTATTGAACTTTATAGAAGTTTGATATCTGGTAGGGTAAGTTGGGCAAAGGGAGGATTATTTGCTTTTTTGCTTTGAAGTCATTTGTCTTTAAACAACTGTCCACAGTAGACTTAAAATAGCACTGGCGGAACTTAGGAAAATCTATTTGCTACTCACATTTCAAGAACTGATCTGTGGCATGAAGTGGGGCGGGGGAGGGGGGCTCACTTTTCTGTGAAACTCTGGGTACTTTTACTTTTGGCTTTCCACACCCCTGCCCTGCCAACTCTCACCTCCGGTTTTTCAGGTTGTGATGTCTCTGAACCATGGGGCTGCTCTTCCGGTATTTACACGTGGTGGGTATTTTGTGACTGGGCTGCGGTACCAAGTTCATTGGTTATTGCCATCCAGACCATAGTGACAGGCCTGATGGCTTCTGGGGTTTCCTGTTGCCTCACCAGCACTGAGACCCTGCATTCCAAAAATAAAAGCACAAGAAACCACCGTGACCTCACGGTCTCTGCTTGCATGGTGCTCTGAGTGCCAGGACACTGCACCCCTATGGCCCGGCCCAGGCCCACTCCCCGCCAGAGCAACGTGAGGTCCGCATGGTCTGGACGCGCTCAGAGGGTGGCCTGGCCTGAGCGCTCGCTCTCTCCCCACTTCCTCTAGGCCGGCTCCCGCAGGGCCAGAGTGGCTCCGGCCGAAAGGATGAGCAAGTTCCTGAAGCACTTCACTGTTGTTGGGGATGATTACCATGCCTGGAATGTCAACTATAAGAAATGGGAGAATGAGGAGGATGATGAAGAGGAGGAGCAGCCACCACCAACAGCTGCCTCGGGCGAGGAGGGCAGAGCCGACCCCACTGCGGCCCCCACGCCCAGGCCCCCCCTCGACTTCAGGGCCACATTAAGGAAGCTCTTCAGCTCCCACAGGTTTCAGGTAGGTGGGCAGAGGCCCAAGAGGCTGGGGTGGGGCAGAGCCATCAGCCAGGAGTCACGAGGCGAGTGTGGGGGCCTCTGATCCTTCCACGTGTGTCTCCCGGGTACGAACCATGGCTCAGGTGCCCACATGGCGCCAGGCAGATCCCGTGTCGTCAGGGAGAAAACCAGTCATGGACCAAAGTAGGTGAGAGGTCTCCCACCTGACAAGTGAGTAAACAAGATGTGGTCTGTCCGTACCTGGCCGTGAAGAGGAATGAAGCACTGACTCCTACCATGAGTGGATGAACCTGGAGAACATGACACTCAGTGGAAGAGGCCAGGCACAAAAGACCACATACTGTAGGATTCCATTTATGTGAAATGTCCACAAGAGACAAATCCACAGAGAGAGACAGCACAGGTGGTTACAGGTCGAAGGGAAGGCAGGATGGCAAGGAACCACTTCATGCCCACAGGTTGCCATGTGAGGTCATGAAGACATTACAGAGCTACATGGTGGTGGCGATTGCACCACCTGGGGAATGTGCTCCTGCCCCTGAGCTATGTGCCAACTTGAAAATGGTTTAGATTTTGTTATGGTAAATTTTATGTTATGCAGATTTTAGCGTACCTGCTCATAAAAATAAACGAAAGCGAAGATATTGGAGGCAAAAAAAACGTTCCTGCCCTCACTCAGCCAACACAGAGGGCCTGCCCTGAGTGGAACAAGGCCAAGAGGGTCCTGTGCCTTACAGACTTATTACCACAGGGGCTTCAGTCTCTTATCTCGTGGAGCCCGGTGTCGCCCACCACTGACCTCCTGGTGCACGTACAGGAGAACCTGAGAACGACACGCAGACTTCAGAGAACAGTGAGGGGTTCAGTGTCTATTGGCATTTGACTTTGAAGCACAAGTGCGGGTTGAGTCTGATGGGCGCTGTCTTAGCCCCCAGCCCTCAACTGGGCAGGCGGGTATCTGGAAACCTGTTCTGAGAGGCCTCGGTGAATGCAGGAGACCCAGGGACACTAGAGAATCACGCAGCCCCTTGTCAGCCCAGGTCCCAAAGTGGAGTCATTCTGGGGACCCTGTTGCAGCTGTCCTCCTGAACTGAAATAAACCAGCGCCCCCCTAGAGCTGACTCCCTTCTGGAAGCAGAAACAGCCCTTGCCCCTCCCATCACTGTCTTTGTTCCAGGGTAAAATAGAAAAAAAAAAATTTATTTTGGTCTTTTCCTTGCTTTCACGTAGCTTAGAGAAATGAAACAGGCCAAACAGCCCAGCAGGCTCAGTGCATTCCTATGTGTCTGTGACAGGAAAGGAAATGTGGTATTAAGTTGTTGGGGTTGAAATCCCAAACCCTCAATTTCAGAAGCAGAAAGACAGAGCCAGTTTCCTTCCAGCTGCAAGGGGAACCCTGGACCTCCCTGCTCGGGGAGGGCCTTCATCTCCTGATTGGGTCACGGACCTGCCCCCTGAGCCAGGACCTCTAAGGACACTCCTACTGGAGAAGACGACTGACCATTGAAACATAAGTAGGGCTGCTTAGTCATTCACTTGACAGTTGCTTCTCGAGCACCCACTGTTGCGGGGGGATAGAGTGGCAAGCATGGCAGATATACCCCGTCACTCTCAGAGGACCCATGGCCTGTGGAGAGGCGGGCGCTCCAGGTGCTGTCGCCCAGATGATGCTGGTTATAAGTGAAGAGAAACCCTCTGTAGGGAAACAGAAGGGGGCTCTAAGAGATCCTAGGGGTAGGGAGACACCTGACCTAGGATTGAGTGTCAGAGGATGTGTCATGGAGGAGATGACATTTCCTCTAACACCTGAAGGTTGGGCCAGGCTCTGAATGGGAAGGGGAGGAGCTTGCCAGACAGAGGGGCTGCCTTTGCAGAGGATCTGCCGCATTCCTGGAATTGAGAAGGGTCTACATGGCTGATGTGTATAGCAATTAGAAGGATAACTTGGCAAGAGAGGAGGTGCTAGGAGGTCATCTGTGGGCAGTGGGTGGCCATGGAAAATCTAAATGTATGGGTGGGAGGGAGTCACACAACTAGATTTGTAGAGGGGCTTAGGGAGACCACTATGGAGCTGGGGATTTCAGTTCAGGGGTTTGATCTCAGCCAGTAGAATCAACGTGCAAGAAGATTCTGGTATCCCTTTCTTGGATGCATTCTCTACCTGTTTCCATGGTTTGAAGCAGCCTAGGAGACCTGATATATAGTTAATTGCCATCACTTCTCACACAGAATGGTACAAGCAAGGGAGAGAATGTGGGGTGTGTTGGGCTGCTGTGGAATCCATGGGTGGACAGCGTAGCTGAGCCAGTGGAGGACACTCAGAAAGGTCAAGGATCTTCACTTCATTACCTGCTCACTATGGCTGGGCCCTGTACTAAGCACCCCTCGCACATTACCTCATATCATGCTACCACTGTCATTCTACGGTGGAAAATTTGGTCGACCCCATTTTCTCCAAGAGGATGTTAAAGCATAGAGTTAACACCGGAGGCTGATCAGTCTTGAGAGATGCCCAAGGTCTAGGCTAGTGTGAGAGGCGGCCCAGGGCTGCAGCCCCAGAGCCTGTACTCCGTAGAGCTGCAGAGGCCTGGCCCTCTTTGCCTCATCTGGATTTGGAACTAACCAGCTCACCTGAATTCTCAGCATTTCTCTTTGTGATGTGACTCCCCTCAGAAATAGTGCTACCTTCGGAAGTGGCAAATTCAGGTTCTGGGGATTAGTTGACAGAGGCCAGGACTGGGACCCACACATTGTGACCTTAGGTCTGTTTTAATTGAGGCTTTTCTTAATTGAGAAGATGACGTAAAGTCAATCATTTTAAAGTGCATAATTCAGTGGCATTTATTTAGCACATTCACAGTGCTGTGCAACCACCACCACCATCTCGTTCCAGAATGCTTCCATCCCCCCAAAAGGAGAGCCAGTACCCATTAAACAATAAGCCCCTGGCCCCTGATAACCACTTATCTGCTTTCTAGGTGTACAGATTCACCTGTCCTGGACTCTTCATATAAATGGAATCAGACAATGTGTGGTCTCTGTGTCCGGCTTCTTTCCTCAGCATCGTGTCTTCTCCAGTCGTTCAGGTTGTAGCTCGTATCAGGGCGTCTTCCTTTTTATGGCTGAAGAGGAAGAAGCCATAAAATGTTTTTAGTGTCTGTGCGCCTTGTTCTTAGACCAGATGAGCTCTCACATCCCTTTAGCTCTAAAATAAAACCAAGGATGAAGGAAGGGAGGAAGGGAGAGAAGAAGAGAGAAGAGAAGAAAATCAAGCTGCCAGAGGCTTGAATCTTTACTGAGCTACTGAATTTGGATACGTATGAAAAACTTCATTACAAAGCAATTTGCCATGTAATTTTCACAGTAAACCATGTCCTCAAACACTTTAATTACTGAAATGATTAGCTATGGGCTGAAATGGTCAAAAGGTTTACAAGTCCGTCTTTACTGAGGCCTGTTCCCTTTCAACCTGAGGGCACGGGCACTGCCAAGGAAATGGCAGACGGATGCGCGGCATCTACCTAAGAGCATCAGGTGTAGGACGTGGGGCCCTGAGGGACACAGTGAAGGCCCAGAATTCCCAAGGGAAGAAAAGGATGACACGGTGGCCTTTGGGGTTCTTCCCATTGCTGCCATTTCTGCCACCAAACCCCGTAGCCCCTTGCCCTGCCATTAGAGCCCCTGCCAGTGTGTCCACCGCCTCTGTCACTGTCAATGAGAGCACACAGGCGATGCACCCTGGTCCCCACCGTCCTCCTCCACCAGCAGGTCACAGAGCTGCTGAGATTGTCTTTCCCACACCTCTCCTCGGTCCCCAGGAACTAGGACTCCATCGGCCTGTTACCCCTAATAAGCACAGTGAGCAGGGGCAGGTATTGCTGGCTCCAGGCAGAAGCTATTTTATGCATCCAGTGGACATCATCGTAATCTCACTACCCAAAGGAAAGCAGTCCCCAGCGGGCCTTCTGTGACTCAGATCTCTGAGGCAGATCTTTTTAATTATCTATTGAGCATCTGTTCTGGGTATACCCTGGCAAGAAAATCTCCAGAAATAGGAAAATTAAAACTTAAATTTTTTTTTTTTTTTTTTTTTTTGCCATCTAGGAATTAGCAGTTTTGCTTGGGAGATGCTGAGAAACGGTCAATGAATACAAAAGACCAGTGGTGACTGTCACCCATGCAGAGAAGCTCTAGGAGGACAGGAACTGGCTGGGGGGCGAGTGGTGGCTGACAGGCCCAGAAGGCACTCGCCAGTGGGCAGCAGGCTCTCATCCTTGGCATCTTCACCTAATGGTTTCCCTTAAATGTTTCTGGCCCTTCAAGATGAAAGGTCTCACGGTTTCTCGCTCCTTGCCTTGGTCTGCAGGTTATCATCATCTGCCTGGTCATTCTGGATGCCCTCCTGGTGCTGGCCGAGCTCATTCTGGACCTGAAGATCATCCAGGGTGACAAGAATAACTATGCCACCAAGGTAGAGTGCCAGCGGCCCCTTACTACAGTTCATGTCTGTTTCCTGAGGTGGGCAGAGGGGGGCAGATTGCACCCACCTGGGAGTAGCAAGTCCTTAATGGACTAATTGGGTGCTTTTAACGAAAGAGCAGAGAAAATGTCTTTCTTTTCAAAATTGTAGACAAGCATCTACTATAGAAGGAAACCTTCTCATTTTACTTGATGGCTTGAATCTCGAGTGGTGCTAGACCGCTAAGCTGGGGTGTGTCACTGCTTCTAGAGGGAGGATCTAACCAAGGGCTTGATACGATCCCATGTTTAGCAGCAGATGAGCTATTTCTCAGCCTGTCAACATTCTGACGTGGTCCCTCTGCTGGAGATCTGCCCACTGGTTTTTTCCCAATTCACAGCTGCTGCCTGAGCCCATCCCAGACATTTGTCCAGCTTTCCCAAGGCAGCTGCTAGCTCCTCAGTCTCTTTTAATCTAGAAGAATCCTCCCACCTTGCCTCCTGCCCAGAATCTAGCCAGTCATTTTGTGGGATGTCCCACATTCTGGACTTGTCTGTTTCCCCAGAGGTCCTTCAACTTGTTCATATTCTTACCTTGTCCTTGTTCTGTAACCTCTGTACACCAGAGGTTAGGTCCAGTTAGCACTTTTCAGTGCTTGGCTGATGGGCTGTTTTCCTTATAGCGTGGCACGTCACTATCACTGATACTCAGTGGGATCACTTAAGGTAGTAAATGCTGAGCTGTTCCACTGTCCAGGGGCACTTTACTGTTGCAGTTATAAATAATCTGCACAGTGACACTTGACTGCCATGTAAAGATCCTCATCCCCAATTAGCATCCACCTGATGGTCACTGCCCAAGTCAATGAATACACTGGGGGATGCAAACTGAGATTTCTAGCACTCATTTTACATCTAGTAGGTGGGGTTTTTTGGTGTTTCATTTTTTATATATATAAAGAGGAGCTTTCCTTTTTTCCCCATGTTTGTGTGTATCACTAAGGACTCATGGATTATTTTTTTTATTCAGTGTATTACAATCATATTCTGTTCAGTGTCCGAATTGCCCCACTAAATTTGGTCACTGTGAGTCTCTTTAAGCTGACTGCTATATCCTTTTAACATGACTACATAGTCTTTGAGCATTTCCTTGCTTTCTGGCCCAATATAATGTCCCAGCTCACTTTGTACTTTCCCTGTCCTAGAATGGAAGTGGTTACTTGAATGAAAACTAGTACTTATAAATCAAGATCTGGCAACCCTCTTTAATTACCATCTACCTTGGTGATCATTTCTAGTCAGTACTTAAGAGTCAGCCTTGGTCTTTAACAATTACATAGAGCTCCATTTGGAGGCACTGTAATGCATTTGACAAGTGCCCTCTAACAGATATTTCTATTCTACAAATGATGTAGAAAGTCTTTTGTCTGCAAATGATGCTGCAGCAAATATTGCTACAACATGCCTTTGTGCACATGTGAGCGAGCATGGCTTTAGGCTAAATTCCTAGCATTGGAATTACTGGGCCAAAGGGCATGGTGGAGGTTTTCAATCCTGCCATTGGGAGCAGAGGGCAGAGCAGAGCCCTTGTCTGTGGTGCCCCAGCTGTAGCCCCAGTTGGAGAAGAGCTCTGGTGGAGTTTGGGATGGGTCAGACGAATGCAATCACTCTCTGGTGCCCGGGCAGGTGCGCTCAAGGCCAGGTCCTCTGGGTGCCGTGCCCCAGCCTGTGGCCAGCCCTGGATCTGTTCTCACTGTGCCTCCTCTGTCATCTCCAGGTGTTCCACTACTCAAGCTTTGCCATCTTGACGCTTTTTATGATGGAGGTTTTTTTAAAATTATTTGTCTTCCGCTTGGAGTTCTTTCACCACAAGTTTGAAATCCTGGACACCTTTGTGGTGGTGGTTTCCTTCATCCTCGACCTTGTCCTCCTGTTCCAGAAGCATGAGTTTGAGGCTCTTGGGCTGCTGATTCTGCTCAGGCTGTGGCGGGTGGCCCGGATCATCAACGGTACGGCCCCTGCTCGGGGTAGCCACAGAGGGAGTGCTGGGTGGGTGGAGCCTGGGAGTAGACCTCCAGGTCCTGGCTCCATCTCCTCCTGGTTAGTGTTTTCCAGAGAAAAATGAAGTGATCTGATTTGGTGTCCCACCACTGCCCCTATGGTTACAAACTAAGACATGCTCAGAGGGACCACTTTTCTCTGTCAGGCCTCATTTTCCTGATTACTAGAAGATATTTATAGAAGAGGCCAGACTAATCTCTGGTTAAGTCCCTCCAGCTTGGTTCCCAGAGTACCTTTGTTTTTAATGTGGTGTTTCCTAAGAACATTCTCCCAAGCCTCATCCCCTGGGTGTGTGTGTGTGTGTGTGTGTGTGTGTGTGTGTGTGTGTGTGTGCAAGGATGCTGAGAAATGCAGCACCCTGGATTCTGCCCCTTGGAGGAAGTCACAGCATTTATTGGCATGAGGGAGACTCTGAGAACTCTGGGTTCCCCAGATTAACCAAGTGGACACTTCAGGGGGAAATAACCCCTGTTAACATGTTGTAGACTTTGGCTCTAGAGAACACACTTGGGGAGCTAATGCTCTACCAGACTTCAGGTAGAGATCCTACTCCTTATACACATCCTAGTGGTGCAGAGAGGCTTCGTTTCTGAGAAGCCATGTTTCTGCTGTTAGCTGCTCGGCTCTCAGTGAACTAGTCAGAGGTACTCAAATCCATCTGTGAACCCACCACATCAGAATCACGTCCAGTGCTTCTGGAAGTCTGGGGTAGACCCTCATAGGGTATCTATTTTTGAAGTGCTAGCAGGTGCCTAGGGTGTCCAGCCAGGTCTGGGCATCCCCAGACAAGGGCTCAGCAGGCCAGGCTGTAGGTCATAGGTGAGGAGAGTGAGTGAGGCAGGCGTGGAGCCCTCTAACGTGAACACAGGGGTCTGGCAGGTAAAGTGTCATATCTCCAACTCAGGGCTGTGTGAGGGGCTCTGCCTGTGGACACTGTGGGCTCCCCCTGGTTTTAGGAGCCAGTTCAGATCTACTTATGAAAGCCCATTAAGCATATTCATCTGGGCTGTCAAAGGAAACAAAGGAAGCTTTTCACTTATTGAATAAGCTTATACTAATTGATTATTCATTGAACAGAAAAATATTCTGTGCAAAGGTTATGTGCCATTGAGGTAGATGAACCATTACTAACTATGAATGACTCATGAACACAGTTACTACCCATTACTCTATCACACCATGGTGACATTTGCTTTTGCAGATAAAACCAGAAGCCTGAGATTTGTTAATTTTCTTTGTCTTAATGGTAGCAGGCCATAGGACTGCCTAACGCCATTGCCGCACTGCTATCAAATATAGTGGCAGGACAGTCTGAGAAGTCTAAAAAAGCAACACAAGCTTTAACTAGACTCAGACAACCAAGAATGCCAGGGACCAGGGGCCATGGCTCCCGGGCGTCATGGCCACCAAGTCCAGACACGGTCTCTCTTACTTGGAAGGTACAGAGCATCCCCTGTTGCTGCACAGTCTCTTGAGGCCATGTCCCCCCTGTGGTGTGGGCATTTATAAAGGAGCTATCAGATAAGGCTGATAACCCCTCTGTTGGCCAAGACATAGTTGATTACCTGACAGCTGACCTGGCTGTAGCTGTGGAAGGCAGAAAACTGGGAAAGTGACAATCCCAAGGCTAAGCTTGAGCATTTCCAGCCTTGAACTTTTGTGTACAGTATTGCTGCTTACATGTGAAGGAGCTTAACACTCATCTGGTCAATGACTATTAAGGAATTCTTAGCCCAAGTGAGCTGAAAGGAAATATTTTACAACTGGGTAGTGAGTAGCTCAGAAAAAAAAAAAAAAAATTCTGACTCTCCTAGTTCTGATGCCTTTAAGCAAATGGACTGTTTTGTCTGTCACCATTCTTCCCAACTATATACACTTATGAGGGATACAGGGTTGTTGTTTTGTTTTGTTTTTTTTTCAAATGGTTAAATTAGAAACCTCTATCACTGAGACCCTCAGTTATTTTACAGGAATAATTATCTCGGTTAAGACACGTTCAGAACGACAACTGCTGAGGTTAAAACAGATGAATATACAGTTGGCCGCCAAGATCCAACACCTTGAATTCAGCTGCTCTGAGAAGGTAAGAAGACATTTTTGGGAAAATGCCATCTGTTTGCCTTCAGCACAGAGCTTCACTAGGCCAGGCCTTTGCTCAGACATCACCCTTCGCTCAGTCTTCCTTGTCCTTTCAGATTCAGATTAGGCATCACCTCCTTCCCCAGAGCTATGCCAGGTGTCCCTCCTCTGGACCTCCTGTCACTGCAGTCACCCACTGGGCCCCAGCTGACCGTAGCAGGCTCCACTGGCAGACTCCACCAGGAATGTAGCCTCCATTCAGCTTTGCATCCTTGGGGCCCAATGAATGATTGCCACGTCCCTGGCAAGGTTCAGAAGGTAAAACTGAGTTATCTGTCTGCTTTTGTTAATAACAGGAACAAGAAATTGAAAGACTGAACAAGCTATTGAGACAGCATGGACTTCTTGGTGAAGTCAACTAGACATGTACCTGCTTCGTCCCAAAGACAAAACTCTGCCTCACAGGCTTGCACCTCTGATGAGAAAGACAGCTGCCCCTCCTGGGGACCGTCTGGGGGAGAGATCTGGTTTGATGCCTTTGCCTCACCCCCGACCCAGCTCAGATTCTGGGGGGTTAGGGTGGGGGGAGTCTATGGGAAGGCTCACTCTTTCTTGGTGTGATCAAGAGCTTCCCATCCCATTCTCACCCCATATCACAATGTATTACAAACTCTATTTTCTCATGTTGAACACCTAACTCTTGCTTGAAAATGAACAACGAAGCTGGACAACTTCTAGTTGTATATAAAATTTAATCTCATCAAATGTACTTTCCCATTTCACATGTGTGAGGAACCAGTGCATCTTTTCATGTGAGCATTCTGAAAGACAAAAGAAAAAAGGAAGCTACCTTGGCTAGCAGCCCATTCTAGAAAAGTCTTATCTTTTCAAACTGTTCTAAACATTCCCCCAGGAGGTTGTTCACAGGTACCCAGCCCCCTCTCTGCAGCAACCAGCTTTCTAACTGGCTCTACCCTGTTCTGCCACCTGACAACATTTTCTCAATTACTGTACAATTAACGTATAAAAGAAACTTTTTCCCTCGAGCCCTCCTACTCTATTCTTTCCAGCATCAAAGGCTTGGAACTGCTCTGTGGCATCCCATACAGCCCATCAGATGGAGAGCTCCAGTGCCTGCCACAGAAACAGCAATTAGACCCAAGACTCCCTGTAATGAAGACGACACTGGGGGGAGATCCCTTCACGAGACCGTATACTCTACTCACATGAGTTTATATGCAGTATTTTGCTATTTTTGTATTTATCTCCACGGGACATGAACTACAACAAGTAGTTTAAAAATAACTCATGTTGAGGTGGATAAACTGGATAAACCCTCAACACCTATGCTACTTCAGGGTCTGTCCTCTTCCCCATCCTCCCAAAGGCTCAATTTGGTTTCCGCACATGACCTATGTGCTAACAGTACTGGAAATCACCAAGACCAGGTGGTACCACATTCTAAGGTCAACCAAGTAGAATAAAATTTCCAAAAGGAGGAGAGTGAATGGAGGGGAAGTGTGTGGTCTGAGGGCAACCCTGCAGATCTGTGGTAGAATCTCAGGATGGCTCCAAGGGAGCCCAGGCCCCTCGATTCTGGAGGTGCGGTGCTGTCTCCTTGATTAACAACTTACGTCAAACAAACGGAAAGAAGAAATTAAACGGCAGCCTGGCATTGATGGTTGGCCGAGCTCTGAAGCCTGCCTTCGCAGGTGCAGATGCATCCACAAAAGTAACCGCAGTGGAAATAAGAACCGTCCTCTCATTTCCTGAGTTGGTCTGTAATAAAGAGAGTGTTGTGAGTCCTGCTTCCAGTGTGTGCTCATGTGCACAGGGTCACAAGGTGGCATACCCTGTGCTCCCTTCCCTCCTGGGGCCACGGTCAGCCCATCTCCTAGGCGCATGCAGGGCTCCTCATACGCTCACTTGGATGAGAGGATTTTTACCCAGGCTGTCCTAACCCACCAATGTCAACCACAACTCCATTTTCAAAGAATTTTAAAGATCAGCTCCAAACAAGAATGCTACTGTGAATTCAACTGTTGTCAGTGGAATTTTTTTTTTCTCTAAGAAAGTGCCAGATTATTTTAAGAATTCAGATTGTTTAAATTTCAGTAATCTTTTTCACAAAATAAATTTCACTATCACGCTTGAGTTTTGTCTGGACTTCTGTCTTAACCCACACCTCGAAACCCCAGTTAGACCTACCTCAGGAAAGGGGGATGAAATGAGACTTGCAGTTACGTTTACAATTTTAGCCTGTGGGTTCAGTAAGGACCCGTATTTGGTCCACTTCACTTCTATAAACAAAGCCACTGGGAGCTGGCAAGAATCCTGCAAAACAGAATGCCATTAATCAATCTGAACATTACACAATTTCATGTCAAACTTAATCTGCACTTCAGAGCTTTAATTATAAAGTGTTTCACATATTACAAAATGTTCTGAACAAGAGAGTGAAGAGACTCTAGAAGTTCAGATAAAAACAGCTGAAAGCACATATTTTAAAGTACTCAATATTCCCAAAAATATTTTAACACTTAAAGCATTTTTCCATCCTCTCCTGTTTCTAGAAAGGTCAAGATTACTTGGAAGTTGTGGAGATCCCAACAACAAACCGCAGAACCTTGGGCCTTAACTGCCCAACTTCATCCACCTCAGAGATTCTTGAAGGGAGAAGCTGGCATTGAGTGGGGAGGAGAGGATGGTGGTAGTCATAGAAATTAAACCTAATTGTGTATCACGTTAAGATGCACCTAGAGGAAATGTAAATGTTTTCTTTTCATTTAATTTCATCAGTTGGCAATTAAGATGTTACACAGGGGTATCAGCCGAGGGTAAATTGTCAAAGATGCTAACTCTCCATGGGTGCTGCCTGCCTGCAGGCTGGAGACCTGGGAGCCAGCCTGAGGTCTCTGCCCCATGGAGGAGCAGGCGAGTGGGCCTTCTAACCCTTTCCCTGCCTTTACATCGTGTTTGTTGGCAAATGTGACAACCACTAAAGCTGCATGATGAGTAGAAGGGATTCCATTGTAATCCTTTACTTTGTGTTATGTTTGAAATTTTCTGACAATAACAAGTTTGTTTGTTTAATATGCCTCTTCGGGGCATGAAAAGCTAGCAAGCCTGCTAAATTTGGTGCCTGCCAAAAAGGCACTGGTGGAACTCCTTAGCTGGGAACTGCCTTTTAGGAAGTTTGCAGGCTGAAAAAGCCTTGTAAGTATCTGTTATTAGAAGAGGCAACACGCAGTGGTAGAAGCGAGCCTAGCACATGCGCTTGTGTCTGCTGCCACCTGAGTTTCCTGCAAGGTAGGTACCAAACCCTCTCTGGGCCCTCTGAGCTCCCTGCAGCAGCACAGACCCTGAAAATGCTAATGTCTGCACTGCCTCCCAGGCGGTTTTCCCTTCTTAGGGGGTAGTAACAATGTCTTAACCTGTTTCTGAGAAGCCAGAAATGATGTGGCTGGTTCCGAGGGGGCAGAGTAGAGACAAGAGCAGCAGAACAGCAGGAACTACTGAGTAATCACGGGTCCCTGCTGGGGACTGAGGAGGAGGGCCGGATCAGAGCCAGAGAGCTAGTCCTCACCCTCATTGTCCCCCTGCTATAAATATGCTAAGCAGATAATGAGAGGTCTGAGAAGCTGTGACAAGCAAAAGCTGGGCAATTAAAGGAGAAGATGGAGAGCACGCCTCCAGTAACGCCTCCAGTGACTGGCGGCCTACACTCTGATGGCTGAGACAAAAGAAAAAGGTGGGCAGAGGAATCACGTGTGATCAGGAACCGCTTTGTAGGATGTCAACTTCCATTAAACTCCTCAGGCAACTTTGGAACTGAAAGCTCTCACTCAAGTGTGGGCTGCCTTTACAGACCAGGGAATGATGGCTTGGGGAGCCCCGTGGACAGGACGAGTCTCACGTGTCACAGCACTCACGCTCCTCTGCCCTCACACGATGCCTTGTGTCACACCAACAGTGATCACAGGAGGGGTCGGCATGGTGACAAGTCCCCATGTTTGGAGCAACAACTAGGCCCCACAAACGTTACTTTGTTTAACTCAACCACCTCAGGAAGCTGATACTCCAGCCTCACTCCCTATTTCACAGGTGAGGAAACAGGCTCAAACCCTCACAGGCGAGAGGGCTCACTAAGGGCACAATCAGGTCTCAAGACCCAGGCCCATCTGTTCCTGCCCACAGCTCTCTCCCCCTCAACAGGTGGCTCCCCTGGCTACCTCTACCTCCCCACTGGGCAGAAGAGCAGTGGGAGTAGGAGAGGCCACTTGCACGTGGCCTTCAACTTCCCCTTTACCTTCATGTGGGATGCCTGGGTGATGAAGTGGACAGGGACCCAGTCCAGCACATCCTGGGCCTGGGAGTTTCCAAAAGGGGCAACATAATCTGGGAAGCCTTGGCCCTTCAGGAGGTTCTTCACTTTCTTCACTGCGAGCTGACACGTGATGGCTTGAGGCAGTCTTTTGGGAAGGAAAAAGAGGTCAATGGAATGGGGCTGTTCATTCCAGCAGTTCTCGCTTATCTCACTCTCCAAAAGGATTATTTGACAAAAGCCAAAATGCCTCTGCCTCTAACTCTGAAAAATCTTGGTTGGCCATGGAAAGAGAAAACAATGTTTCCCAAACTGTTCCATTGAGAGGCTCTGTAGAAGAGATCTATGGCCAAAAGTTTGGGAAACAGTACATGCCTATGTCCCTCCTGGAGCACACTGGCATATTAAAGGCTCTGAGAAGTCCTTACAGTAAGGAATTACATTTTTTGTTTTTAAAGAATTTTTGTTTTTTAAATATTGTATTTATTTATTTATGAGAGACACACAGAGAGAGAGAGGCAGAGACACAGAGGAGAAGCAGGCTCCATGCAGGGAGCCCGATGTGGGACTCGATCCCAGGACTCCAGGATCACGCCCTGAGCCAAAGGCGGCGCTAAACGGCTGAGCCACCCAGGCTGCCCAGGAATTACATTTTTAACTTTAATTGGGTTGTTCCTCAAACAAACGAACTGGATCACAGACATACCCCAACTAACTCTTTGGAAATGTAATCCATGGAACAGCCTCTGAGAAATATTGGTCTAAAGTGATCAGAATCAATAATGTAAATGGTATGTGTCGGTCTAACCAAAACAATGCTATAATTACCCTGGGGGATGTAGGGATGAGAAGTGACTGGGTGGTAGGATAGTGACTGGGTGGTAGGGTAGTGGAAGAAAAGAGAAAGAACCAAATTTTTGTCTTCCATAGTGGGAACTCAACAATTCATAAAACCAAAATATCAAATAATATTACACACAGGTTATTGACGTATTTGGGAGTAAATTTCCAAAAAATCAGCTACAGGAGTTTTAAGTGATCTCCTGCGGAGTAGGGGAAATGAGGGTAAGGGCTGGTGTCTTTATAATAAGCCATGCAGGGCTGGTTGACATTTTTCATATGTGTTTGGTATTAGAAAGATAAAAACAGAGATCACATTCAGGCTTCTTCTTAATGGGTTTGTTACACCACATATATTAAGTCAGAAATATAGGAAGGATTTTCAAGCAATGTATTTTTGCTGTGAACTCAAGTGCTATGCAACCTTAAAACCTACACAAGCATTGGGATTTTTATCCTGCCACATCTGATAAGAAAAATGACTGCAACAGTTTTCCTTTGAATCATGACAAATGGTTTATGGAGGTGAAAATTAAAATTAGAAAACACAAGTACTGTCACTAGTGATAATGGGACTCACTGTGGCTTTCACAGGCGCTCGCTGGCTGATGCAGAGGTTTGATTAAAACGGGGAAGAGTAGGAATGCTTTGTTCTCTGATCAACACAGACAAGTTCCAAAAGAAGTAAGTTCCTCTCTTACCTTAGTTTACAGCCAGATTGCATATCATAACCAAATAACACTGGGGTCCGGATCCCCTCTACTGCTAAGCAGTCCTGCTCCGCTGTGCTACGAAGAACAGTAAGTTGTCCGTATCTGTTCATGGTCTGAATAATCCCAGATATTCATAAAAAGTTAAGGGACAATCACCCAGTACTAAAACAGTCCGATACTCAGGAGATGGTGACACGTGTATGACAGAAGAAATGAGTGAAACCCAAATATCCCTTCTCTGGGCCTCTGCGATTTTGACAGTTATTTCCCAGGGCAGAACAAAAAAATAGTTCCATTTTCCTTGAGTAGTAGATCCTCAGAAGAAAAGTCCTCAGAAACCGTTCCTCCAAAATAATTCCAAATTTTCAAAACTACTAAATTTGTTTAAGAGTCTCTGCTTGAGTATGTAATTAAATGTATCCAAAAGTCTGTCAACTTTTCTGTCTTGAGATTTTCATTATAAAACACATTTTCCTGGACCATCCTGTTTCACCCCCAACCACCAGCCACACACAACCCCACTTGCTGTGCAGCTGGACCCACCACCCACCAGAGCTACCCGGAGGAAGTCCTGACCAAAACTAACCTCCAGCCCACAGGACCCTCACCAATAAAGAGAAGAGCCACACAACTCATGGACAGGGAGATCAAGCTTCTCCACAGAACCAAAAAGGATATCCCTTCTGAGGCTGAAATCCAGCAACTAATGGGAGCCCCACAACATAGCCAGGGTTTCCACTGAGAAGAACTGGCTTTGTATTTTGCTGAAAGACAATGCAGAGATGCCCCCAAATAATTCTCATTTTACTAAGGAAGTAGGGTGAAAATAAAATGCTTTTCACAGTAAAATCTGGGATTTCCAACCAATAAAAGAATTTCTCCCCCTACTCAGAACTATAAATATGTCTGCTGAGTGTAGGAGTACATCATTCTATAAAAGAACAAGCTCACGTGGAAGAGAATCTTATTCCCGGAAAGGAAAAAGACACAAGGACTCTGCCTGATTTCATTACAAACACATGCTCCGTAAAGCCCTTTGTTTAGTACAAATGGATAGGTGGTAATATTTCTAAACTGAGATTTTTTTTCACTGACAAGTTATGATTTTTTACTTGCAATTAAATATGTGTACAAAATTGATCAAACTTACCTGAATGAAATGAATTTCAAACTTCTGCTCCAATGGAACTACTGCCTGGCTCACTGTCCCCAGAAGGAGAGAGAGGCCAGCCTGTGTTATCTCACCTGCAGATGTGTATGTGAGGCTGTACTTCACCTAAAAACAAAATGGTACTCCAAATATACCTGTGCCCATTGCATTTTGGTAGCTGTATCAACTACTCAAAGTACATACAGGAGGCAAATCCTTTCCTATTTCTCTGCTCATGGAAGCTTTTCTCTCCTGTCCCATCAGATTTCAGGAGGCAATGCCCCAGTACCACCCCCAGTTGACAGAATCATTGGAGCCTCTCTGCACCTAGTTACATGAGTTCCAAATCAGCAGGTCTGAGTGGAATATGATCAATTTCTGCAGAGAAAATGTGTTAAAAACAAAAGCAATAACAAATTCTGATATATTCTTGAAAGTCACTAGGTTTGCAGAGAAAAATCACATGTGATTATTTCAGAGACCTCAATTAAAGCAGCATCCTCTAATAACACAGCATAAAGCCAAGAAGGTGGGAAATCAAGAACACCAATACCTGAGGATGGGCCAGAACACTCTTTGGAGGGCATTCAGTTACTGCCTCAGGCCTGTGCAGCTTGAGTCCACCACACACAGACTCAGCTTTCGAAGCCAAACTGGGCACCTACCTCAAGAACGACGTTAGTGCAGATTTTAACATCCCCAGCCTCAACCAGGGTCTGATTCAACATGACCGTGTCCTCCAGTTGGGTTAGTGTTTTATTCAGAGACTGAATGAGGATGGAGTGAACGGTGATAGGGATCTGGAAAGTAAAGGAGACCTGGCTCACAAGGGACACTGTCCAACAGAGATGAGTGGGTTACAGTGATGAGAAACTGGAGACAAATCCTTGCTAATACACAGCTCAGCAGAGGAAAGCATGCTACAGAACAATATGCATACTCTAACTGCACACTTGCAAAAATTCAGATATTTATACGTACATACATTTATATACAAAATACTAGAGAAGAATATAACCAAAGCTTTGAAAGTGGTTATCTCTGAAAACCTATGTTCACACAAGAACTTATACACAAATGTTCACAGCAGCATTCCTAACAGCCAGAAATAGAAAACAACATAAATGTCCATCAACTGATAAATGGGAAAATAAAATACAGTGTATACATGTAAAAGAATATTATTCATCCACAAAATGGAATAAAGTGCTGACTCATTCCACTACATAGATGAATCTTAAAAACATCATACTAAGTGATAGAAGGCAGACACAAAAGGTCATATATTACATGATCCCATTTATAGGAAATGTCTAGAGCAAGCAAATCCTTAGGGACAGAAAGTAGATTACTGGTTGCCCAGGGGCGGAGGAAGAAGACTGGAGAAGAACAAGGAGTCCCTGCTAATGAGCACAGGGGTTCCTTCTGAGGTGATGAAAATGTTCTGGAATTAGGTGGTGGAGATGGTTGCACAAGCTTGTGAAAAAAACACTGAACTGTACACTTAAAAATGCTGAGTTTTGTGGTATGTGAATTACATCTCAAACATTCACACACACTCACAACTCCATCACACTACCCAACATGTGTAAATGTACTCTCACCTCCAAAGCACAGCTCCTACCAATAAATGCACTCGCCCTATACACACAGATGCATGTTCTCCATAGTCCCAGGACACAACCCCCTGATCCCTACCCCCCTACCTGAATATATGCTTGACCCAATTCATGCACAACTTCTATGCACACCCTCACACATACACACTAGGTGGTGGGATTACTGGAAGAGAAAACAAAGAAAGACAAATCTTTCAAGCAGAATCAGGAAGCTCTGAATAACCCAGTGCTATTAAAGGACATCTTTCATTTATGGCCATTGCCAGCAGAGTGACAAGCAGCAAGCAATCCTTTAAATGATTCAATCCTCTAGGGAGCTGGGCCTCTTCATACTGTGTGACAAATCTGACGTTTGTGCTAAATGTCAGCACTTAGAAACCACTGTTCAGGAAGGAATCTACCTTGTATCTAGTTGTTTATATTGCTTTGAACTTTGCCCTCAATCGTGTACCATGCTGTTTAGAATTCAAAATTACTAAGTGTTTAACTATCATTTTATAGATAAATAAGTAGTTCTTACATGTCTGCTTCTATGACCAAGAAGACCTGTAACTATCCTTATAAGTCAAACTCTAAGAATGTGACATGGTTCGGAAGCTGTCAGGTGACAAGAGTGGCAGAAGGGCCACCCCAATCACAACACCCTCCACATAACAAGCCCCTCTCTATGTAAAAGTTACACAGGGAGTCCCGTGCTATGAGTCCATAAGCTCTTCAGTGTACGTCCTCAGACAATCCTGGGTCCCTTTATTTGAACCTACTGATCCCTGGTTCAGCAATATGTGGTTCCAAGAAAACGTACCTCCTTCCACACCAGCCTCTGATGGAGCCATTTGGGTGGTATGTGGGTGTGACTGGCAGACACCACAGGGTCCAAGTTAGACAAACTTTGGAAAGATGGACGGATGAGGATAGGTGACAAGAGCTGCACTGGTACAGCCACTGGGATAGTCAGAGAGTGAAAATGGTAGGCCTACCCTGGTTTTCTGAATGTCCTATCGGGTCATATCCCATTCCCACACCACCCTGTGCAGATACTTACTGAAATTATAGAGCCAGAACTTCATCTTTCATTGATGGTTCAGCAGATATTAACTGATCCCAGGCAATCCTAACGGGCTGCACTTAATGGGGAGCCTGGATCCAATTTTTATATTCCTGAGCATCTAACAAATCTTAGAAGTTGCTTTTTAAAAAAACTTTAAGCAAATCTCTGATTTAAGACAACTAACAGACTTCAAACATGCACTGGACTTACTGTATGGCACACAGTACATGCCTTCCATAACACCCATCATCCTCACAATAGGTCTTCCCTGGTTGACTGAACCTAAGTATTCACTCAATTAACACATAACCCACTGAGTGCCCAATACCTACTAGGCACCACCCTTGGCACTACAGATATATCATGATTAAGGCAGAGAGGGTTGCTGCCCCCACAGACAGTTCAAGTTTTGAATGGTAGAATCAAAGCACTTTTTAAAAATTAATTAATTTATTTATTTTTGTGCATCATAAGTTTATTCCCGATGCGGGACAGATTCTTTCCATCCCCCAAGTGAATCACATGCTGCCCTGGAGAGATCTAGGAGATTCTCCTGCCATATCCAGGGAAGGAGTGAGAAAGGCAGGTGCTGAGGACAAGGCAGGCTTTGCAGTTCCCCAGTCTATTATCGTCCCCTCCTCAAGAGAGGAGAGCTACTCCCCACTATTAATAGTCTCATCCACTCATCCCTTAAAGAAAAAGCCTCCACTCTTTAAAAAAACAAACAAAAAAAGACCAAAAAAAATCCCCCTCAAATATGGGAGGGAGGAATCTCAGGCTGTGACTTGAGGTGAAAGGTCACTAACAGAAGAGGGAAAGGGAAGGGAGAAGGAACCATCACTGTTTCTGCTGCAAGGCCTCCTTCCTCGCTGCATCCTGCAGCAACTGTGTGTCCACCTCATCTGCCGGCAACTGCACGTAGCGGACCACTGAGCCACAGATGAAGCAGTTCTTCACTGACAACATGTGAGGATATTTCTCAGGGTCTGTGACACTGATGTCAGTTAGTTTGATGTTGAGATACTGATCCACAGAATGGAGGGTTCCACAGATGCTCAGGTCATTCTTGAGTTCCACGACCACATCCTTGCCCACCAGGGACTTGAAAAAGGAATAGAAGAGCATGGCGCTCGAGATGCGGGACGCCGGTGGGACCGGGGAGGAAAGGGCTGGGAACTGCGGGCCTGGGGCCGGTGGCAACCCACAAAGCACTTTTTAGAGGTTAGAGGTATTTGAGAGCTAGTTTATTATATGATTTTCAAACTGGATTCCTAGGATCCATAGAATTCCTCAGAAGGACCAAAGAGGAGAGAGATGGGAAGGCCAGGCAGGTGGAGGGCTCTGGGTCCCACCCCTGCTCCAACCAGGGGCTTTGGATTCAATCCAAATTACACACTGGGGAGAGTTCTGCTTGAGATCACATTTGAAAAAGCTCTGTAACTAAAACAAATATGAAAATACCTTCACAGATGAGGAAATCCAGGCCCACACACAGAAGTGTGAAGTCCAAAGTCACAAGACTATTTCCTTCCAAATGTCTATCTTAAACACATGTTTGTAACTTGAGACTTAATGAAATCAGTTACAGTAGGTATCACTGCCCCAAGTGCAGCCTGAGTGCCAGACACTGCACAGAGCACATCATGTGCATTCTCCCACTTGAGCCTCACATCGGCCTCTGGGGCAGACACTTACCATCTACTGGACAACTGGGAGAAGTGAGGCACATGTCACTTGAGAAAATAATGGCAAAGCTGAATTCTGAACGAAGGGTAGCCAATCCCATGAGCTCTGAAAGACTGTAACAAGGCCTACACCTTCGGCCTCCTTGGGAACTGTATTCACAGACCCAAAAATAAGGGGTAGATGCATTTTCCTTTGCTCTAACGTAACCACAGAAGACCTTGGCCACCTGATCACAGCCTGATAGAACCTCCAGGCTGGGTTACAACAGAACCTCCACGCACACCTCACCCCCTGAAGCTACACTGGGAATGTTCTGCCCCCACACAGGTGTGGACATTCAGGGGCAAGATACTTCTATCGTCTACGGGCACAGATGGCATCCTCGGAGCTAGCCAGCTCTCCAGACAAGAGACCAAGAATATCCCAAGATATGCCAGGGGAAGCACAGAAACCAATCACGCCCATTGTCTATCAAGACAGCTATGCCATTTAAATATGAAAAAGTGCCAACTGCAAAAACAGAGAATTTAAACATCTGCCCCTTTTGTAACTACAAAACGGTTAGCTACTAGGGAGCTTCCCTCTTCCATTACTGCTTGCCTTTTGGCAAATGATTTTGTTACTGACAGTAAGGTATCCTTGTAATCCTAAGTGTATTCATTTCAAAGGGCTTAGGAATAAGACAGTGTATTATAAACTACCTTACTTTCCATCAAGAAATACTCTTACCAGGACACTTGGGTGGCTCAGCGGTTGAGCGTCTGCATTTGGCTCAGGGCATGATCCCAGAGATCTGGAATCAAGTCCTGAATTTGGCTTCCTGCATGGAGCCTGCTTCTCCCTCTGCCTAGGGCTCTGCCTCTCTCTCTCTCTCCTCTGTGTATTCTCATGAATAAATAAATAAAAATCTTAAAAAAATAAATAAATAAATACTCTTACCTCTGCCTTTCTTCTTAAACCAGGTACCTAAACAAAAATAAACAAATTTTGTTAAATACAATGAAAAGAAGCATTTTTATTACCTTTTCAGACTACAGTTTAAAGGGCATAATTATCTTATTAAAGACTTCATAAAGAGGAAAACAATTTTCTTAATCAAGACCTGCCACCTACATATTTATATATCTATGTCACAATCAAAGAGGTAATTTTATGTCTTCCTTCTATATTCATTTCCTTCAGATTGGAAGCTTAATAGAATAGACCAGCCTCACAGAACTGGTCTCAGATGCCTCCATGCTTCAGTATCATTATTCAGGACTTTCCACATGGTCATGAGTGACACAGCACTGTGGGAAAGACATGGCTCCTAGCCTTCTGGTCACCCTCCTGCACCTGTCCTCACTGGAAGGCCACCATCGCTGGCCCAGGCCACTTCCATTGCCTCCTAACTGCTCTTCCTACCTCTAGCCGAAACCCCTCAAGGGAGAGCTCCTACCTCCCCAACACAGCCAAGCACTCTTTCCAAAGGCACAACCTCCCTTCACTTTCCATTCCCATCTCCCCCAGCCTCACTTCTCATCACAAGACACCCTACGGGGCCAAAGGAAGATTTGGGAAAGGGGCTGAGTAGACACGTCTAGGGAGGTCTGTTCTGGGAGAGCTGTGCCTGCACACCAGAGAAGTCATTTCTGAGACCACCAGGAGAAGTCAAATAACTGGAAGAATTCACAGGCCTATGTACCTGACTTATGAGAAGAGGGGAAGAGGGAAAGTGAAGGGAGAGGAAAAGCTTAAACTTGATTCTGAAGGCTGCAACCCGGATGAATACCGAGGTCATGGACCACTCTACTCCTTTCTTGTTCCCCCAAAAATAAGGATCAGGAGGTAGAGGTTCACAATAATGGAATGGTTTTCCATCATTGAAAAACCCTTCACCTCTCGTAACCCTCCATGCTATCCGCCAAATGGGCCAGTGGCCTCTCTCATCCCTTCAGGTTTCAGTCACTGCAACCAGAAAGAACTGATTTCCTGCCTGCTCTTCCCTATTTATTTCATCCGCCAACCAGAAAGTAGATTTTCTTTTCTTTTCTGGCCTGTTTCTCAGAGAGGTATCTTTTTGGTGCTAATATGATAATTACGGTCATAGATATTAAGATGTTTTTATAATTTCTATGGTTTTCAGTTATTAGTCTTTTTTATTCAGGAGAAAGACATTATTGGTTATTCATCAAAATGAATGAAAGCCAAAAAACAAAACAATGAATAAAAGCAAAATATGAACTATATAAAAATAAAAATTATTTTAAGTGATTCTTTCAATATCTTTGATATCAGTATACCAAAGAACTAGAGAAGAAAATTTTATTTATTTATTTATTTTTTTAGAAGAAAACTTTATTTTTTTTTATTTTTTTTTAATTTTTATTTATTTATGATAGTCACAGAGAGAGAAAGAGAGAGAGGCAGAGACACAGGCAGAGGGAGAAGCAGGCTCCATGCACCGGGAGCCCGATGTGGGATTCGATCCCGGGTCTCCAGGATCGCGCCCTGGGCCAAAGGCAGGCGCCAAACCGCTACGCCACCCAGGGATCCCCTAGAAGAAAACTTTAAACTTCAGTTGTCAATCATGTACTGAAATTATTCTATACTTGTCATATTTTTTTTATACTTGTCATATTTTAAAAGGGTGCAAAGAACAGAAAACAAATCTGACGAGTAAGTTTCACTTCAAAATAATTCTTACCCTCAAAATTTTAGGGCTGCTGTAATAAGCCATGCTCAGGGCTTCAATTTCTTCACACTGTTCCAAATTGATCCTTCTGGTGCACTTAACAGCTTGGTTCACTAGAAATGCTGGAAATCATAACATTCCCAAGGGGAAAAAAAATGAGGGAGAAGAAACTTTTCCATTGTCCAATGGTAACGAAAAAATTGTAGTCTAAGTAAAACCATAAAATAATTTAAATACAGATATACAATATGCTTAAAATAGGGCTTGAAATTATATTTTTAATAGGTAATACACTCACACGATTCAAAATTCAAAGGGCACAAAAAGATATTGAGAGACTCTCCCTCCAATCCTTGTCTCCTCCCATCTATCCCCCCAGCCACCACCAGAGACAACTGCTTATCCTCAGAGATAATCAGCAACAAGTTTGTTGTGTAGCTTTCTGGAAATATTCTATGCAAATAAAAGTGTGTGTGTATATATATTTTTAGTATTTCTTTCCCCTTTTAGAAACAAATACATGTTATATAGTCTACACTTCACTTTTTTTTCTTTTACTGAACAATGTATCTTGGAGTTTAGGCTATCTTAGAACATGAAGAGCTCCCTCATCCTCTTTTTTTTTTAAGGGATAATTAGTATTCTATTATAGATATGTTATAATTTATTCAAGTTCTACATTAATAGACACTTAAAGTTGTCTCTGGCTTTGCCATCACAAACAATGCTGCAACCTACTATTTTGCATGTGGGCCAAAGATTCTGTAGGACCAACTCCTAGAAGCAGAACAATGGGTCAAAGGGCATATGCATTTGCAATTTTGATACATATTGCTAAATTGCTCTCCACAGAGGTTGCACCAATTTACAGTCCTGCCAGCTACATAGATGAGTGCCTACTTCTCCAGAGCCCTAAATTTCTTAAGCTTTGCTGATCCATTAGATGAAAATGGTATCTCAGTTTGGTTTTAATTTATACTATTCCTGCTGGGATGCCTGGGTGGCTCAGCAGTTGAACGTCTGCCTTTGGCTCAGGGCACGATCCCAGGATCCGGGATCCAGTCCCACATCGGGCTCCTTGCAGGAAGCCTGCTTCTCCCTCTGCCTGTGTCTCTGCCTCTCTCTCTGTTCCTGTTGCAGGAAAGATTGAGTGTTTTTTCAACAGAATCCATTTTTGTTCCTACATGAGATGATGTTTCATTAGGCCACATGCCACCATACACTACTTAGCTTCTTCACAGCAGTGCTGCCTTAAGGATTGGAACGCCATGCCTGCTACCTCCCACTGCCAAGATAGTTACTCCACAGACTCCATGATACTCCTGAAAGGACAAGCAGGTCCCATGGGAGGCAGCTATGTGGGCTACATCCCCACTCCACTACTGCCAGAGCAAGCCTGAACAAGAGACTGAATATTTCTCAATTTCCCCATCTAAAAAATGAATGACCTGACCTCGGAGGATTATTGTGACAGTCAAATGGAAAAACACATCCAAAGGCACAGTAAGTGCTTAGTATTAGCTATTAACAAACTTTAGCTTCAGTGAAGAAAGAACTTTCCAGAAACTGGAAGAGGTAACTGAGTGAGCTAGTTTCAGGTAGTGAGGTCCCCATCACTACAAGTGCTCAAAGCAGTGATTGCATATGGCAGAAAAGATGTGGTTGTGAATCTGACCTACATAATCCTTGAGGTCTCTTTCAACTCTAAGACTGTTTCTAGTTATGAAGCCTGTATAATTATGGTTAGTATAAGTTTATTTTATTTTTTTTTAATTTTTATTTATTTATGATAGTCACAGAGAGAGAGAGAGAGAGGCAGAGACACAGGCAGAGGGAGAAGCAGGGTCCATGCACCGGGAGCCCGATGTGGGATTCGATCCCGGGTCTCCAGGATCGCGCCCTGGGCCAAAGGCAGGCGCCAAACCGCTGCGCCACCCAGGGATCCCGGTTAGTATAAGTTTAAACGAAGAGCAAACTCTGTTTATAGAGAGAAAGAAAAATACCAACTGTCTTACCTGCAGGGTTATCATCAGTGCACAGAGATGACGTAAGGGGAGAGGGAAATCTCAAGAATGAATCTGAAGTCTGCAGATGAACCCCATACTGTAAAGAGACCAACCTCAAGCTATTATGGTGCTATTAAAGCATTCATCCAACACTTACTGGACACCTACCATGTGCCAGGCAGCATTACGGGCATCAGGAGCACAGCGATGAGCAAAAAACAGATATGGTCCTTGACAACATGGAGCATACACCCAGCTGCCCCACCCCTTTCTTTGAAGGATATATGTATGTTCCTGTATGTGTGCATATTATTGTATTTGCAGACTTTTTTTTTTTAAGATTCATTTATTTATTTTAGAAAGGGAGAGAGAGCAGGAAATGGGACAGAGGGAGAGGGAATCTCAAGGAGACTCCCGACTGAATGCAGAACCCGACATGGGGTTCGATCTCACAGCTCTGAGATCACGGCCTGAGCCAAAATCAAGAGTTGAATGCTTAACCAACTGAACCATCCAGGCACCCTTGCAGGCTTTTTTATTACAGAATCCTTCTGGAAAGTTATATAAAAAGCTGACTTAGTGTCTGCCTCTGCAGACAGGAACTGTGTGGCCAGGAACAGGGGTGAAAGAGGAAATTATTTTTTACTAGCAATAATTATTTAAATAACAGATACAGTACACATTAAAATCATAACACAGACTGGCCTTCTTTCCCCAAACCAAACCATATGAAACCTTTCTCCAATATTCAAAACAAAATTTAAAGCTATTGTGCATACAACCAATTTTCTCAAAAAGTATCCAAATGCTTTGGTGTCAACAAGGGTATGGGGAAACAGATCCTCTTCACTAGACCTGGGACTTTAAATTCCTGTAATCTTTCTAGAGGGTAATCTGATATGGATATTTTAAATCTCCATTCATTTTGGCCAAGTTAATCCAGTTATAGGAAGATATCCTCAGGATTCAATCAAAGATATAAGTATCTATAAGAACGTTCATTATGGGGATCCCTGGGTGGCGCAGCGGTTTTGCGCTTGCCTTTGGCCCGGGGCGCGATCCTGGAGACCCGGGATCGAATCCCACATCGGGCTCCCGGTGCATGGAGCCTGCTTCTCCCTCTGCCTATGTCTCTGCCTCTCTCTCTCTGTGTCTATCATAAAAAAATAATAATAATAATAATGTTCATTATGGATTGTTTATAATAGCAAAAACTAGAAACAAATATCTGTTCATAATAGAATGGCTCAATAATAAATGCTGATACATATGGAGAAGGGATACTTTGTATCACTAAAATGTAGCTCCAATCCTAGCTCTGACAAGTTACTTTCCTATATGGAAGTTTTTCTTATCAGTTAAATCGGGCAATGATGTATCTCTTTCAGGGTTGTGTGAAGTAATGTCCGGAAAGCTTACACATGGGAAATGCTCAAGAAATGTTAACTTTTATATTGATATGGGGAGATGCATATAATTCATCACTGAATAAAAATGGAAGCTTACAGAACAATGTAGATAACTATAAATTCTACTTCTACACAACACTATATATTTTTATAGATGCATTTAAAAATCAGGAATAGGGATGCCTGGGTGGCTCAGTGGTTGGGCATCTGCCTTTGACTCAGGGTGTGATCCCGGGGTCCTGGGATCGAGTCCCACATCAGGCTCTCCCCACAGGGAGCCCACTTCTCCCTCTGCGTGTGTCTCTCATGAATAAATAAAATCTAAAAAAAAAAAAATTAGGAATATACACCAATCTGTTAACAGTGATTTACAATGTGCATTTTAGTGCACATTGTAAATAGGGGCCTTTCCCATAGGGGCCTTTCCATCCTATGTACCTCCATACTTTTAACTTTTAGAATTAGCACAGGATGTTTTACTTCTCTTTAAAGATGCTTCTGAAAAATCTGAAGCTTATTCAAAGTTAATGTATATTGCATTTAAAAGTTTACTAATGAATAGATATAAAATAGCACACATCTTCCTAAAGTCTCTAAAACTAAATATAGCTTTGAAAAGAGGACCAGGCACCCAACCAATCCACTCCATGTCCCCAGTAGCATGACTCAAGCACTCTGCTGCATTTTTTGAGGTGAAGAAGCACAAAGAATTCTGCAGAGACAAATGCAGGCTTATTAAAGAATAGACAACTTTAAACCCTATGTTAGAAATCAATGACTCATTTTTCGTTTTTGTGATCTCAGGTTTCTAGGCATGAACTTTAAGTTTTTCCCTCTATAATGTGAATTCTGTCTTGGGGAAGCCAGTTTTGCTGAGAACATACTGAAAAACTAACTTACAAGGACAAGATATTTACAACAGGATGAGTAGACTCAAGTTCTTGGCTCACCTTATATTTATCAGTATCTGGAGTGTCCAACTGGGTTGTGAAAGAAAGCTCTGATTCTGAATTCAAGGAAAATCCTTCAGATGCTTCCATCAATTTATCAAAATTATTTTCATCAGGCTCTTCCGGATTAATAAAGAATAGTGCGGGTTTATCTGTTTTTAGAAAGGGTATTTTAAATCGACATACAATATGTACATTATATATATATAAATAATACTTTGGAAACAGTTTTTAGTAGTATTAAAGCTAATGTGAAAAAAAAATTGCGTCTCTTTCCATATTTACTTTACCCAAAATTTCTTTTTTTTTTTTTTTTTTTTTTTATTTATGATAGTCACAGAGAGAGAGAGAGAGGGGCAGAGACACAGGCAGAGGAAGAAGCAGGCTCCATGCACCGGAAGCCCGATGTGGGATTCGATCCCGGGTCTCCAGGATCATGCCCTGGGCCAAAGGCAGGCGCCAAACCGCTGCGCCACCCAGGGATCCCTACCCAAAATTTCTTGAGTCTTATTAATAAACAGGATCTCCAGACTCAGCCTGCTTCTCTAACAGCGTAGAAATAATGGTGTCTTTTTTTTTTTTTAATATTGGTTTCTAAAGCCTGCAGGCAAATAGCACAACAGAAGCCAATAATAGCCAATCATTCTCCAGCTCACAGAGTGAGGAGCCTCCTGCATTAACCTCTAAGGCAAAGTTCTCTGCAAATGGCCACAGGGACAAAAGATGTTGCTTCTGTCTTTACACAATCACCTCCAAATCAAAGCCCAGAAGAATGATGTGCTGTGTATAGGACATATCAGGAGATGGACAAAATGGGCTGGAATGTTCACTTGCCTGATGTTATGTCCTAGAACCTAACAATGACTGACTGGTCACTACTTTAGATTATAAATCCCAGAGCACTGGGGCACCTGGGTGGCTCAATCAGTTAAGCGTCCTACTCTTGATTTCCTCTCAGGTCATGATTCAGGGTTGTGAGATTGAGCCCCAAGTCCGTCCTGGGTGTGGAGCCTCCTTAAGATTCTCTCTCACTCCCTCTGCCATTCCCCTCTACTCTCTCTCCCTGCCAACAACAACAACAACAAAAAAGTTGCAGAACATTAGCTTAGTTTTCAACTGAAGGGAACAAATTCAAAATATACAGATGATCTGAAAAGATGATGAAGCTTAATTGATGAAACATAAATACAATTCTCATCTTAGATATCTTGCTAACATTTTACACTTACAGGTACTTTGGATCTAAACACTTAGTTGAGCTAAATGCTCAGATAAAAATAAAGATCCTGTTTTCATGCAAATATTCTTAGTAAAAATAAAAGAGAAAAAAGGAAATTGAAACCAAAGCTGAACCTGATTTTTAACCATTGAACCAAGAGGAAATAATATATATATATATATATATATATATATATATATATACACACACACATACATACACATATATATGTATAACCTAAATAAATCTAGATTCCTATGTGTGTCTACATATTGTAAACACCAGAGAAAGAAGTATGAGATTTCAAAAGACAACTTCATAAGCACATTAGTTTTAAAGAAAATGTGCATGCCCATAGGTCTATAAAGTTACTTGCAGTGGCCTGTGAAATGGCCTCAGAAGATGCACCTTAGTCAAACTTTAAAATGATTGCTTTAAATCTACCTGAATGAGACATTTTTCCATATAACAACTTTTTAAAGAAAAAACTTTCCAGGGCTTCTCAAAGGGTATCACCATCAAATACTTACAGTTTGTAATATGAATGCAGAAAATAGATGGATTAATCTGGTCGACAAGTTTAAATATCCTTTGAGGTGGATTTGCTGTAAAATTCAATGAATAGATGGCTGCTTTTTGACTACAAAACTGACTATCGCCCCTGAAAATTAAAAAATAATAATACAAAATTGTTAAGACTTTTGCACACAATCTTAGCAAGATTATTTAAAAACTGTCAGAGGCCTGAACTGTACTGTGTTAACATCTACATGGAAGATATTTATGAAAGTGTGATGTTAGACTTCAATCCATTTTTATTTAGTTTACTCGGTGTTAAAATCTTTAGCATTTGAAACTTTTTCCTCTGAAAGGTAAAATATTAAGACAAATCTTTAAGGAAATCTCGTCAAGTACGGAATACAGATCAGGGTATAATTTTGATGTAAATGAACCTTGTAAACTCTGACACATCAATCATATAAAATTTTGCAGAACTTCAGGTTGTCTGTAAGTAACCAGAATGGATCCAAAATTCCTTGTCTTTAGAATAAAGCAGTCTTCAAAGGACTGTGAAAATCAGAAAATGTGAAGTCATCTAGAAATCTGGGGGCTTAGGAGTTAGGATATAGTCAAGACTTCAACCAATCCCAGACTTGACAAACTCTAATCAATTTGATACAGACATGGTGTGGAGGGGCACCCAGGTGGCTCAGTCGGTTGAGCACCTGCCTTCAGCTCAGGTCATGATCCTAGGTTTCTGGGATCCAGTCCTGCATCAGGCTCTCTGTTCAGTGGGGAGCCTGCTTCTCCCTCTCGCTCTGCTCCTCCCCCTTCTTGTGCTCTCTTGCTGTCAAATAAAGTCTTAAAAAAATATGGTGTGGAGATAGAGATGTAACAAAAAAGGGATCATAACCCATCTACTGTTTTAAAGCCTTTTCTCAATCTGTATTGCCCAGTATTTCCCAAGTCATTGATATGTTTTTACAATATTATATGAAATGGCTTCATTGTATACCAACTTACTACAATACTCTAAATGTTTCAGTCAATTTTCTGCTGTTAGTTTGGGTTGTTTCTAGTTTTCCCTGATTACATATAATGCTATAACATCATCCTTGCACATATATTTTTATGAATGTCTCCAGCTATTTCCTTGGGCTATGTTCCCTGAAGTGGAGTTGCTGGGTCAGAAGTTAGATGTGTTGCTCAAGACTTCTAAGACCTATTGTCACATCTCCCTCCAAAAAGGAAAGATGTGTGCTCTTGCCAAGAAATAGATACTATCCAGTTTCTACCCTTTGCCAATTTCATGGGTAAAAATTTATCTCATTTTATTTTGAATTTTCTCATTTACTAGGGAGCTTAAACATTTTCCCATATAGTTATTGCTCACTGGTATTTCTTCTTCAGTAAGGTGCTTCTTCACATCTATTGACCATTTTTTTTTATTGACCATTTTTTATTAGAATGTTTGTCTTCTCATTGGTTTGTGAGAATCCATAGTTTTAAGAATCCCCTTTGAGTATCATATGTTGTAAATATTTTGTCCCTGTTTGGCTACCTTTCAATTTTACGGTGTTTGTCATCTAGTAATTTTAATTTTTTTAATAATAAAATTATCAATCTTTCCTTTTGTGGTTTGCCTGTGGGCTTATGCTTAAAAGACATTCCCTAACCCAAGATTAACAAATGTTTACCTATATTTTTCATTTTTTCATTAAATTTTTTGAACACTTCACTCCTTGATCTATTGGTAATTTACTTTGGTATAATGCTATGAAGCAGAAATCTAACATTTTTATTTTTCAATAGTTATCTTACATCATTTACTGAATTTATCTCATTGTTGTAAAATACCATATTTACTATACATTAAATAAATAAGAAAAAAATACATGATACTTCTTTAAAATCAGTAGGCATAACTGATTGTTGGTCTTTCTATTCTCTTCCCCTGGTCTACCTATCTTGAAACAATACACATTATTTTCATTACTGTAATGTTACAAATGTTTAAAACCTGATTGTTTGCTCTTCTTGTTCAATAATGGAATGTCTTGGCTGTTCTCACATTTATTTTTCTAGATGAATCTTAGAATCTTTTTTTTAAAAAAGATTTTATTTATTTATTCATGAGAGACACAAGGAGAGAGGCAGAGACATAGGCAGAGGGAGAAGCAAGCTCCATGCAGGGAGCCCGATGTGGGACTCAATCCTGGGACCCCAGGATCACACCCTGGGCCGAAGGCAGATGCTCAACTGCTGAGCCACCCAGGCATCCCAATTTTAGAATCTTTTTGACACATGACTCCTTCCCTGACTGGAACGACACTTATAAATTAAGTTTTTATGAGTTAGTTTACTTATATAATGATTCTTCCCATCCCATTACATAAACTATCTCTCCATTTATTCAAATGTTTTGTCTATTTCAAGTTTTCTTCACATAAATTCTGAGCACTTCTTATGTGACTTTTTAAAAAAAGATTTTATTTATCTATTCATAAGAGACACAGAGAAAGGCAGACACAGGCAGAGGGAGAAGCAGGCTCCCCACTGGGAACAGGGTACAGGACTCGATCTGGGAACTCCAGGATCATGCTCTGAGCCAAAGGCAGACACTCAATCACTGAGCCACCTAAGCATCCCCTTATGTGACATTTCTATTGAGTGCTATGAATAAGACCTATTTCCATTATGTTTTTTGATGATTATTGCTAAAGTATAAGGAAGCTAAAGTGACCACTTTTCGAAAAGCCCGGTATAGTTCTAATGGTATATTAATCATTACTGTGGGCATAAAAATATTTTTTTAATTTTTATTTATTTATGATAGTCACAGAGAGAGAGAGAGAGAGAGAGAGAGAGAGGCAGAGACACAGGCAGAGGGAGAAGCAGGCTCCATGCACCAGGAGCCCGACGTGGGATTCGATCCCAGGTCTCCAGGATCACGCCCTGGGCCAAAGGCAGGTGCTAAACCGCTGCGCCACCCAGGGATCCCCATAAAAATATTTTTGAAAAAATATTAGTATTTATGAGACTTTGAGGAGGATCCAGGAGTAAATTTTGATGGGATCAGAGAGGGCATCCCTCTGAGCTCCCTGTCTAGACTGTCCTGCAGAATTCAGGACAAAATCCAAACCCCTCAGCATACACTCAAAACCTCTCAGGCTTGGACCCCTGCCACTGTCGCACACTCTTCTCAGCCTCCTTCTCCAGTCACACTGAGCTACCAGCAGTTAAGGCAACAGTCATACTCCTTCACCCCCAAGACTCTGCCACGCGGCTCCTTTAACCTAGAATGCCTTCCTCTGATACTATGCTGGCCAATTTCTACCTGTCCTTCAGGACCCACTCAGATTGTCTTTTCTAGAAAGCCTTCCCTAGTCCAATTGCCCAGGTTAGATGCCACTCCTCTGAGTGGTCTCCATGCCTGGAGCAGAACTGTCACCCACTCCTCTATCTCCCTTACTCCACTCCTTACTCAGTGAGCTCCATGAGGGCAGGGCTATACCTAGCCCACCTTATAACCCTGGTGCTCATGAAGGTATAGTAAGGTATGAAAGAAGGCTAGATGGGAGAAGGCAAAGGGGAGGCAGGAGTCAGGGTAGCCTCCAGGTTCTGGCCTAGTTGTCTGCCTGAGAAAACAATGGTAGAGAAGCCAAGAAAAATACTAGAGTGTTGGTTAGGGGTGGAGGGGAAAATTTTATTCATCGATTCAACTCACTTTTTTTTTTTTTTAAGATTTTATTTATTTGTTCATAAGCGACACACAGAGAGAGGCAGAAACACACGCACAGGGAGAAGCAGGCTTCATGCAGGGAGCCTGAAATGGGACTCGATTCTGGGACTTCGGGATCATGACCTGAGCCAAAGGCAGACACTCAACCGCTGAGCCACCCACGCGCCCCCGATTCAACTCACTTCTAATGAGGGCCAACTATGTGGCAAAAATTGCGCTAGGCACTAGGGGCATAAGGGATATTATTCTTGCTCTTATGAAGTTTACATCTAATGAAGAAAACAGACATTAATCCACTAAACTTAACAATAAATTTAAGTTTCATGATAATGTTATAACATTGACATTATCATGTTATAAAATGATAATGTTATCATTAGATGATAGGATTAGCTGTTGACAGTTTAGCAGATGTAAACAAGCCTTTCATGAATTAGAACCTACATAATGAGAATAATCAATTAATTGGGATTATTAATTTTAATTTCATTATTTCCACACTTCGTATTTAGAAGAAAGTCATAAGCAAAACTAACTCAAAAAAAAAAAAAATCATGAGGTCCTTTTTTGAGGGCACTATGGATTCAGCTCTAACTTCTATACCAGAGGTCCACAAACCACACCTAATTTTATAAATAAGATTTACTGAAAGATAGTCATGCCCATTCGTTTACATGGCTGCTTTTGCTCATCAATGGTAGAGGTAAGAAAGTTGCAACAGAGTCCACTGGCCTGTGAACCTTAAAATATTTACTATGTGGCCTTTTACTGAAAAAGCTTGCTGACCCACATTCTAAATAGTTTATATCTAAAATTTGGTATTGACTAATACAAGAAAAAATGACATTCTAAAGTATGATCTCTAATGGAGCCAAAATCTGACTCTCAGGCTTATACTTATTAAGGCAGAAAAGCAGAATGATTTCTAACAAAGACTGAACCACTCAGTAGTCCAGATACCCAGAAATATAATCTAATTACAACATACCATCCTCCAAACATTTTTACAATACTATAAGCAGATTCAATTTCCCATTGGTCATTAAGGTAATTTCTCATGAGGGGAAGCTGGATGGGTCAGTCGGCTACAGGTCTGACTCTTGTTTCAGCTCAGGTCATGATTTCATGGGTAGTAAGATGGAGGATGGTGCATGGAGCCTGCTTGAGATTCTCTCTCTCCATCTGCCTCTGTCCCTGCCCCTCCACCTGCTTGTGCACATGTGTGCACTCTCTATTTCTCTCTCTCTCGCTCTCTCTCAAAATAAGTAAAATCTTAAAAAAAAAAAAAAGATAGTTTCTTATGGGAAAAACACATTGTACTTTCAAAAAGCATTCAATCTATTAAGTATCAATTGCTACAATTTGCTACAAGTCTAAATTTGAGTTGGCTATCTCTGAATATTATTTGGTCCCATTCCAAATAATTAACCTCTTTTAAGTGCTGTATTTTTCAAAGAGCTTTGAAATCTGAATTACAAGAAACAAATCATTAAGATATTATTTACTTTGTAATCAACTGGGAATATCCTTTTCCACTGTTCTCCTATACAATGTGAACTGTGAGAATTCCTAGATTTACATATCAGAAAAGTATAAACAAAGCTTTCCTGTTTAATTTTTTGTTACAAGTACTATGTCCACAACAAAAGCTGTAAAATTCAACTGCATTTTCCACCTTAGGCTATATACATGAGACTAGTCCACCTACACAAAAATGTGCACATTATCTGTTTACAAATCAGAGTGAAATGTAATTCAGTCTCTGAATACAAAGATTTCCTTATATTCTTAACAAAGTATACCGTCTCTTCTTTTTTCCCTGCATTATCATCTGGCTGGATGCAAATAAGGGAGCGATACTCTTCCACATATTGGTTTGGACAGCATGGCTTCTTAATGCAAAATACTGGAAACCAGGTTTGGGTTTTTCAGCCTGGAAGATTTCTCACTTTTTGTCCCTAGATTTTATAATCTTGGTCCAATTTCATCAAAACTGCATGCGTCACAAACTTACGTGACAATTGGAACTGAACAGGCAGAAAAGACACTGAAATCCATGGAGCTGCAATCAGGATCACAACAGCAATTGACGTCACACTGTGCTGGAGTCAGGTCACAGACACACAGAGCAGCAACTATAGAAACAAAAGAGGTGGGATGCAGAACTTCACCATCAGCAGGGTGTGACTGCCCCCTGCCACTGCAAAGTACCAAAAGTCTATTTCATAAAAAGGTCCATTTTATTTTTCCTATTGCACTTTGGGGAAAACCTGTGAAGTGAAAATTAGTCCATTTGGATGCTTCTTAATCTGAGATGTCCCCAAAGTAGCTAATCATCTGACTCACTGGGAAATTTCTGTTTGTGCTCAACCTATAAAGACTGATTTGGTAAGCTATGAAACCCAGGCATTTGTATTTTTCAAAAACTATCCAGGTGATGCTGATAACTTAAGAACCAGCATGCTAAAACATTTGCTGGACCGTAAGAACCCCTGGTCTAATAGAACAGATTCCCAAGTTCCTCCTGTGGAGATTCTGATTCAGAGGAAAAGCCCAATGAAGGCCACTAGGAATCAAGAGTTCTCAAACTTGTTTCTCTCTTCAAGTGTCACCTGTGGCTTTGAAGTTGAGCCCACATTCACAAACTATTGACCAAGAATCAAATTGGCTCAGGTGCTTTGTACTTGGCATTTTGGAAATATCTTTGGTAATTTAGACAATAAAGCATAAGGGGGATAGAAATCTTTGCAACATTTTTCCTTTTTTTTGGAGAGAGAGAGAGCACTGAGGAAGGGTGGGGGAGGGAGGGCCAGAGAGAGAGAGAGAGAATCTTAAGCAGGCTCCATATCCTAGGCGGAGCCCCCAGAGGGGTCCAATCTCACAACCCTGAGATTATGACCTAAGCCCAAACCAAGAGTTGGACATTTAACAGACTGAACCACCCAGGTGGCCCCACATTTAATTTTTAATAATGTCATTATTGAGAGACACAGAGTCTCTCATTCATGAGTCATTCATGAGAGACACAGACAGAGGGAGAAGCAGGCTCCATGCAGGGAGCTCGATACAGGACTCAATCCCGGGTCTCCAGGATCAGGCCCTGGGCTGAAGGCAGCTCTAAACCGCTGAGCCACCTGGGCTGCCCTACATAATCCTTTCTTAATCTGAGACACAAAAGTCTTCCCCCTGAAGCTTACATACTTACCTCTAGACAAGGGCTCCTTTACGTGCTTAGTAAAATGAAAAAGCAACTTGTGCATGCTAACGTAAAAAATTGTGTTTAGGGCAGCCCCGGTGGCACAGTGGTTTAGTGCTGCCTGCAGCCCAGGGCGTGATCCTGGAGACCCTGAATCGAGTCCCACGTCAGGCTCTCTGCATGGAGCCTGCTTCTCCCTCTGCCTGTGTCTCTGCCTCTCATTCTCTCTCTGTGTCTCTATGAATAAATAAATAAAATCTTAAAAATAAAATTGTGTTTAGGTTCCCTGCCTTATGTGTTTAAAATTACAATTTTGATTTTTCAGAACTCAGAACCTTTGTAAGTAGCTCTAAGACTAGTAAGGACAAAGCAATCATGTTTAATAACTACACTCAGGGATGAAAAAAACCAAAAAGTCCCTCTCTGGGATGTGAGTGTCCTTAATCGGCCAACAAGTGTCTACTGAGCACTCCCAGGCTCTAAGTCGCACTCAGCTGCTCCTCTACACCTCTTAACATGTACAATGCCTGGCTCTAGAGAAAGACGCTAAGGAACAGAGCTCAGATCAAGAAGAAAATTATCACTTTTCTCTTCCACCTGTAACCCATCCAGCACATGGTGTCCAGTTATCCACTCAGAGCCCCTGCTCCAACACAGGCCAAGACTGTGTTATAAATATCAAGCAAGGAATTGACCTACCTGAAAAATGGGGATAATCCACATCATAAGGGATTAAATGAGATACATTACAAACCAGAAGCTTAGCACAGGGCTTGCTATACAGTAAGCAGTTAATAAATGCCAGCTGTCATCTATTATTATTTTCATGGGTCTTAAGAGGGGTCCTTTAAGAAGATGAAGTGCAGGAATGCCTGGGTGGCTCAGTGGTTGAGTGATCCCGGAGTTCTGGGATGGAGTTCAAATCTGGCTCCCTGCATGGAGCCTGCTGCTCCTTCTGCCTGTGTCTCTGCCTCTCTCTCTCATAAATAAAATCTTTTTTTAAAAAAAAAACATGAAGTGCAAATTCATCCCCTCTCCTGGTGCTAGAAAAACAGCCCTGAACACATGCCCTAATAACAATGATTCAAGAATAGCTTCATTTTGGGGAGAAATCACATAAACAGATGGAATACTTAAATGGATAAAAAGACAACTGAGTCCAAAAACCTTAGAGAATTTTGGATATCGAATACTATGCCATCATCTGTCCCCATTTATCACATATTTACTTCCCCTGACTAATTCATGAAGTCCGATATAAAAGCTTTGTTTATATATATACACTAAGATACAAAATGTATTTCTCTGTACTTTTCCTCACTCATTTATACTTTTACTTATACATTTATACTTATTCCTCAGTAATTTAAAAAGGAGGCCCTTTGGAGAAATGATGACTCAGGAACTGAAATCCTAGAGTCCAGGAGGTCACCCGAGGATGAGTTTTCTATTTACTAATACTGAGCCTTACTTAAGATCTTTTTCTCTTACTAAGGGGGAAAAATATTGCATACCTATTGGAGTTAGAGGACTTTTTTTTAAGTCAGAGGGCCTAAAGGGTTTTTTTTGAGATCACAAACCCCTTTGAGAAACTGCTCACTGCTAACAACCGTCATCGAGAAACATGCATATTCACAAAATTTTGCACTCGGAGTTATCTCAGGGTCACAGCTATCCCTTCCAAGTCATCATGTCAAATCCGATTATAAAATATTCACTAATGTCCAACTCCAGAATTAGACCACTTTCTGAGAAAGAGGTTAATTATCCCTCATGATGAATCCTAAGTGGGCATAAACCCTCACCCCATAACTTCACACCTTCAACTCAACACAGGAGGCATCCTGGGGTTTCATAATTCGAGTCAACAAAAAAGGGCCTAGTCACATTTAGTAAACCAGACTTTTGGCGTCTCTTTTTGATAAATGAAAAGTTCAACACATCTTAAATGCATACCATTTCCACAACTGCCCAGAAACTTTGGATTTACATAATTTCCATCGCTGGCTGCAAAGGGGCAACGACTCGTGCATTTATTACCTTAAGCGTTCATGTTGTCCAGGACCACCGGAAGTAATTTTATAGATTTTATATTGTCCCACCTACGCTCTCTTGAGCCTCGGTTTTCCCTTCCGTATGAAAGGGACAATGAGGTCTACCCTACCGGTTGCTGAGACAATTAAGGCCCACGAAACACTCAGCAATGCCTGCGTACAGTGTTCAGTAAACGGTCGCTCTCATTAGGACATCCTCACCCGGGCTACCTGCTCCAGGCTGGATCATTATGGACCCCTAGAACTACCACTTGGTACCCACCGTCCGTGACCGGGGTGGGCCTGGGGCCAGAGGATGGCACGGGGGCCTTGGGGGTTCCAGGGGGCCTAGGAGACAAGGCGGGTCGCAGAGTCGTCCCGGCCGCCTCCGCAGAGTTGAGGCCTTCCGTCGTCACAGGCTGAGGGGCCCTGGTCTGGGCGCTCACCGAGGCCCAGCAATCCAGGAGCATAAGCAGGAGCGGCGCGAGGCCCTGCGGCCCCATGGCCCCGCGGAACCCCACGCTACCAGCGGCCGGGACCGCGCGTTGCCTGGCAACCGCGGCGGCCTGGCGCGGGGCATAACGGGAAGGGTCCCGCCGGGCCGCGCGCAGCGGCGGGGGCAGGGGGCGGGGCCTGAGCGAGACCGGCCTCTGGGAGCGAGAGCAGGGATAGGGGCGGAGACGGGGGTGGGGTGGGGGTGGGGACAGGGGTGGAGGGGGGGCGGGACGGGGGCGGGAGTGGGGCCGGGGGCCGGGGGGCGGGGGCCGGGGGCCGGAGGCCGGAGGCGGGGGTCGGGCGCCGGAGGCCGGAGGCGGGACGGAGACGGGGCCCGGGCGGAGCCGGGGTGGGACGAGGGATGGGGAACTGGGTGGGACGGGGGCCTCGGATCTGGGGCTGCGTGAAGCTAGTCGGGGCAGAGGACTCGTGAATCCCCGCGGTGGTTTCCAGACTGCAGTGCTTGCGTATTTCCAGGTCCTGTCCCGGGATTCAGACTCAGTAAGTCTGGGGCAGTGTTCAGGAATCAATATTTTTAACAAATGTCCTGACAAAACTAGTGAGGGGGATGGAAATTTGGGATCCTACCTCCTAAAGCTACTATCGAAAGAGCATGGAGAGCGCTTCATCGTCCTTGAATTTTCTGTCACGCACTGTCAACACTAGCTTTGCCTTTTTTTGTTTTATTTTATTTTATTTTATTGCCTTTTTTTGTTTTAGATGGCCAGATCTAAGGAGGTCGTCAGAGAACTTCTATTCACCCTGCTGTGATAAGGGGGACAAATGAACACAAGTTTCTTTTACAAACAAAAAATTGACGAAAATCAAGTAGAATGATATATACGTTTTAAAGGAAAAAAAAAAAAAAAAACAACCCAAACCTGTATATGACTCTCTAAAATGACCTGGGGACCACAAGTTAGGAAAGCGCCTCCGATCTACATTGGCTTATTTATAAAGGTACCCCATGGAGGGATGCTAGCTATCTTTGACACTTAATCTCCTTACAATTCAGAAGCAAATGTCAAATCGAAATGTCATGGTATTTACTCAAGAAACACATTTACCAATTCAGAAAAAAATGCCAAAACATACATATACTTATTTATATAGCAAAGCTAAATCATCAAAGTGGCAGCTTGAGCAAACCTTTCTCTGGCATACCTGACAAAGCGTAGAAAAATATAATTGGATCAAAGGTGTACTACAGATAGTTCCTTTTTTTTTTTTTTTCTACAAAGGATTGCTTTAACATCTGACTGTAATTCTGGACCATTTTTAACAGCTGATGTAATGCTTCCCTTAAAAAACAAACAAAACTGTATTTCCCAAACCTTTATTTCGTGACTTCTAAATCCAGGATTTATTGTTTTTATAAACCTTCTCTTTACTTCCAGGTACTACTTCCTTTTCTATTCCTTGATATCTGTGAATCTCTTTGTCTTGTTTTCTGTTTTGAAATTAGGCTGTTGGATTAAACTTTGACGAAGAGTCCTTTGACTCACATTTTCATTTTATGGTTTGGGAAATCATCTCACCACCCTTTTTGTCCAATCTCAAACACTTGGTAGGTTGCCCAAAGGTAATTTTATGACATCCTGCAAAGTTGAAATGAGGGCTACATTAACTCAGATCCATTTTGCAAATCTTGGGAATATTGAAACTTTTCACTTCACAGGTGACCACTTCTGCCAGGCTTTTTTCATCTTTCTCCCTTTTTTCTGCCCTGCCCTTGTTAGATTCCCTCATTAGGATGGAAGGACACAAGGAAAACCAATATCAATTTCCATATCTTATCTAAAACTGCATCATTTCAGTTGTGCATAAACGTTTGTGATTAAAAATGTCCATCTGTTTCTCTAGGATTATTGGCGATTTCAATTCCTTACAGCCTGTGCCAACGTTGGGAGGAATAAAGACAATTCAGCTTTTTGGAATTCTGCATTTGGAAGCTGCCTTATATGAGGAGCCTAAAAATCCAAAGACAGGAGTGGCTAGGTGGAAAAATAGCTAAGGCTGACTTTCTAAGGCAGCATTAACCACTGTCTTGGTCTTTGGTGTGGTTTGGGGTGAACTTGTTTCTAACCTGTCTATAATTAGGTATCCAGTTTTTCCTATCTTTATTCAACTTAGCCAAATATTTTATAGATAGGGAGGCAGAACCATCAAGTTTCTAAAGGAATTGCTTAGCACTACAAAGAGATCAAGGTTGTGTGAGAATAAAGGATTGACTACCATTTTGACTGAAGTGAGCAGTCCAGTAATTGATTTCTAAATCAACACCCAGGAGAAAAGAAGATAATCCTCAGCTTCTCTCCTCTTCCCATTCATGTGCCCAGTCAACCACCAGGCACTATTCTTGTTCTGAAACATTATTGGGACAGGAAGACTATTTGAGCAGACTTCACATTCTTGGAAGTTCCCAAATTTACAAGTTTGACCTTTTCTGAAATGAAGTAATAAATATAGTCACAGACACTCGCAAGAATGAAATAAGAATTCCTTGTTTGCCAGACAACTTTAAACCTGCATCCTATTAATAGACCATACTGCAGTTCCAATAAACTAGTTGGATTTTTTAAGAATCACTTTTGGTTTTATCATTTGCATATTGAAACATTTCAATCACAATGAAAGTTACTAAAAAGAACACCACTGAACACTGTACTATGATCAGATTTGACATTTTGCCATACTTACTCCATATTTCTTTTTAGTCAGTTTCATGAGGGATAGTTTATATACAGTATAAATTTGTGTACAGTTTTTGCCATACAGGTTTTTCTTATGCATCAATGTACAGCTTTTTTGGTATAGTTTTATGAGTTTTAACAAACACATACAATCATGCCACCACAATTACAGTCAAGATATAGAACACTTGATCTTAGCCAAAAGGCCGAGAAGCGATCAAGATATAGAACAATTTTACTGCCCCCAAACCCCTCCCACTAGCCCAGGCCTTTAGGACAGTGATCTATGTTCTGTCCCTAAGGTTTTCCCTTCTCCAGAATGTTACATCAATGGATCATACAGTATGCAGCCATTTGAGCCTGGATTTTCACTTAGCCTAATGCCTTTGAGATCTATCCATGTTGCTTATGTCAACAATCCTTTCCTTTTTATTATTATTGTGTAAAAAATACATGACATTAAACTTACCATCATAATTTTTTAACGATTTTATTTATTTATTCATGAGAGACAGAGAGAGAGAGGCAGAGACATAGGCAGAGGGAAAAGCAGGCTCCCTGTGAGGAGCCCGGGATCGTGACTTGAGCCAAAGGCAGATGCTCAAAAACTGAGCCACCCCGGTGTCCCCCATCACAATAATTTTTAAGTGTGTAGTTCAGTAGTGTTGAGTGTTTTCACATTGTTGTGCAATAGATCTCTAGAACTTCTTTCTCTTAAAACACTAAATACTAATCCCCCTGCTCTTCCTCCCAGCCTTTTCTAACCACCTTTCTATTTTCTGTTTCTGTGATTTTTTTTAAAGTTTTATTTATTTGCTAGAGAGAGAACCAGCAGCAGGGAGGGGCAGAGGGAGTGGGAAAAGTAGGCTCCCTGCTCGACGCAGATGCCAGGCTTCATCTTTAGGACCCTGAGATCGTGACCTGAGCTGAAGGCAGATGCTTAACTGACTGAGCCACCCAGGTGCCCTGTTTTTTTTTAATTTTTTTTTTATTTATTTATGATAGTCACAGAGAGAGAGAGAGAGAGGCAGAGACACAGGCAGAGGGAGAAGCAGGCTCCATGCAGGCAGCCTGACGTGGGACTCAATCCCGGGTCTCCAGGATCATGCCCTGGGCCGAAGGCAGACACCAAACCGCTGAGCCACCCGGGCTGCCCATTTGCTAAATATCAAGTGAAGAAATGAATTCTTAATTTTTCTGTAAACAAAGAGCCTCAAAAAAATGGGAGTTGGCCCTTTGGTGCCACAGAGGGGCACTGCTCTTTCCTCCCCCACTTCTATTTTTATTTCTGTGCAGTAAACATGTTTTCATCATTGTCCTCAGGACCTGCAGGTAGTTCTGCTTTTATTCAGCCCTTACTGGAAACCTGTTAGTGAACTCTTCTTAAGGCCTGAACCTCCTTCATTTTGCCCTGTCATGGGGTCAGTCACTTCTGCCATAGCTTGTTTCAAAGCATGTACCTTTTATTAACCTAAATTTATTGGAAAGAATCTGGAGACCAAAGAAAAGTAAACACAAGATTGGGTAAGTCTATGTCAAAAGCATCAACCTCACACTGTTAAAGCCCGTTTTCCTTACCCAAAATCAGGACCCATGATCTGGCAAGTCTGTGTGTGGTTATGAAGACAGTGAAAAAATTGGAATGTCCTGGAAACTTCAGAATTATCACGGCCATAGTTATGAAAAATCTGGATGGAATAGACACTAATCCCAAACTCCAGAATCCCCATTTCTACATTATGGTCAATTTATTAAGGGGAGGAAATGGCCTGATGAAAAAAGATTTATTTTATCTAGGTCTGTTTGGACATGCAAGCAAACCGATACCTCTTTTTGATTGAGATCATTTGTGAATTCCTTAAAAGAAAGAATAAATGTCCTTCCAATCTGAATCTAGCTACAAATTCTCCCTCAAAGGCGGTTTCTTACTATATGGAATAATAAAATATTAGTCATATTTTAACTTCTATCCCTTCCAACATAAATCATGAACAGGCCTAAAAGTTTCCTTTTAAAATGTTCTCTTTAGGGATCCCTGGGTGGCTCAGTGGTTTGGCGCCTGCCTTTGGCCCGGGGTGTGATCCTGGAGTCCCGGGATCGAGTCCCATGTCAGGTTCCCTGCATGGAGCCTGCTTCTCCCTCTGCCTGTGTCTCTGCCTCCCCCTCCCCCCACCGCCCAATGTCTCTCATGAATAAGTGAATAAAATCTTTAAAAAATAATAATAAAATAAAATGTTCTCTTTAGGACATAACCTGATAATTCTAACAGTTTCTGGGGAGGAGAAAGGAAAGAGAGTCACTCTTTAATCTCTTGTGCCTGTATTACTTTTCAGTTAAAATCAAATTGATTTTTTTTGAGGTACCTGGTTGCCTCA